ATTTTCTCATCTGGTTTACACCATAGTGACACACAAACACGAAATTTTAAGTCCTCGTAAAATTTACTTGTTTTTAGCCATCATTTCATCATGGTTATACATACCATTTTCCGGTATGTTTTATAATATCTGAAATTTTACTAATTTTCTCATCTGGTTTACACCATAGTGACACACAAACACGAAATTTTAAGTCCTCGTAAAATTTACTTGTTTTTAGACATCATTTCATCATGGTTATACATACCATTTTCCGGTATGTTTTATAATCTCTGAAATTTTACTAATTTTCTCATCTGGTTTACACCATAGTGACACACAAACACGAAATTTTAAGTCCTCGTAAAATTTACTTGTTTTTATCCATCATTTCATCATGGTTATACATACCATTTTCCGGTATGTTTTATAATCTCTGAAATTTTACTAATTTTCTCATCTGGTTTACACCATAGTGACACACAAACACGAAATTTTAAGTCCTCGTAAAATTTACTTGTTTTTATCCATCATTTCATCATGGTTATACATACCATTTTCCGGTATGTTTTATAATCTCTGAAATTTTACTAATTTTCTCATCTGGTTTACACCATAGTGACACACAAACACGAAATTTTAAGTCCTCGTAAAATTTACTTGTTTTTAGCCATCATTTCATCATGGTTATACATACCATTTTCCGGTATGTTTTATAATCTCTGAAATTTTACTAATTTTCTCATCTGGTTTACACCATAGTGACACACAAACACGAAATTTTAAGTCCTCGTAAAATTTACTTGTTTTTAGCCATCATTTCATCATGGTTATACATACCATTTTCCGGTATGTTTTATAATATCTGAAATTTTACTAATTTTCTCATCTGGTTTACACCATAGTGACACACAAACACGAAATTTTAAGTCCTCGTAAAATTTACTTGTTTTTATCCATCATTTCATCATGGTTATACATACCATTTTCCGGTATGTTTTATAATCTCTGAAATTTTACTAATTTTCTCATCTGGTTTACACCATAGTGACACACAAACACGAAATTTTAAGTCCTCGTAAAATTTACTTGTTTTTAGCCATCATTTCATCATGGTTATACATACCATTTTCCGGTATGTTTTATAATATCTGAAATTTTACTAATTTTCTCATCTGGTTTACACCATAGTGACACACAAACACGAAATTTTAAGTCCTCGTAAAATTTACTTGTTTTTAGACATCATTTCATCATGGTTATACATACCATTTTCCGGTATGTTTTATAATCTCTGAAATTTTACTAATTTTCTCATCTGGTTTACACCATAGTGACACACAAACACGAAATTTTAAGTCCTCGTAAAATTTACTTGTTTTTATCCATCATTTCATCATGGTTATACATACCATTTTCCGGTATGTTTTATAATATCTGAAATTTTACTAATTTTCTCATCTGGTTTACACCATAGTGACACACAAACACGAAATTTTAAGTCCTCGTAAAATTTACTTGTTTTTATCCATCATTTCATCATGGTTATACATACCATTTTCCGGTATGTTTTATAATCTCTGAAATTTTACTAATTTTCTCATCTGGTTTACACCATAGTGACACACAAACACGAAATTTTAAGTCCTCGTAAAATTTACTTGTTTTTAGCCATCATTTCATCATGGTTATACATACCATTTTCCGGTATGTTTTATAATCTCTGAAATTTTACTAATTTTCTCATCTGGTTTACACCATAGTGACACACAAACACGAAATTTTAAGTCCTCGTAAAATTTACTTGTTTTTAGCCATCATTTCATCATGGTTATACATACCATTTTCCGGTATGTTTTATAATATCTGAAATTTTACTAATTTTCTCATCTGGTTTACACCATAGTGACACACAAACACGAAATTTTAAGTCCTCGTAAAATTTACTTGTTTTTAGCCATCATTTCATCATGGTTATACATACCATTTTCCGGTATGTTTTATAATCTCTGAAATTTTACTAATTTTCTCATCTGGTTTACACCATAGTGACACACAAACACGAAATTTTAAGTCCTCGTAAAATTTACTTGTTTTTAGCCATCATTTCATCATGGTTATACATACCATTTTCCGGTATGTTTTATAATATCTGAAATTTTACTAATTTTCTCATCTGGTTTACACCATAGTGACACACAAACACGAAATTTTAAGTCCTCGTAAAATTTACTTGTTTTTAGCCATCATTTCATCATGGTTATACATACCATTTTCCGGTATGTTTTATAATATCTGAAATTTTACTAATTTTCTCATCTGGTTTACACCATAGTGACACACAAACACGAAATTTTAAGTCCTCGTAAAATTTACTTGTTTTTAGCCATCATTTCATCATGGTTATACATACCATTTTCCGGTATGTTTTATAATATCTGAAATTTTACTAATTTTCTCATCTGGTTTACACCATAGTGACACACAAACACGAAATTTTAAGTCCTCGTAAAATTTACTTGTTTTTAGCCATCATTTCATCATGGTTATACATACCATTTTCCGGTATGTTTTATAATATCTGAAATTTTACTAATTTTCTCATCTGGTTTACACCATAGTGACACACAAACACGAAATTTTAAGTCCTCGTAAAATTTACTTGTTTTTATCCATCATTTCATCATGGTTATACATACCATTTTCCGGTATGTTTTATAATCTCTGAAATTTTACTAATTTTCTCATCTGGTTTACACCATAGTGACACACAAACACGAAATTTTAAGTCCTCGTAAAATTTACTTGTTTTTAGCCATCATTTCATCATGGTTATACATACCATTTTCCGGTATGTTTTATAATATCTGAAATTTTACTAATTTTCTCATCTGGTTTACACCATAGTGACACACAAACACGAAATTTTAAGTCCTCGTAAAATTTACTTGTTTTTATCCATCATTTCATCATGGTTATACATACCATTTTCCGGTATGTTTTATAATATCTGAAATTTTACTAATTTTCTCATCTGGTTTACACCATAGTGACACACAAACACGAAATTTTAAGTCCTCGTAAAATTTACTTGTTTTTAGCCATCATTTCATCATGGTTATACATACCATTTTCCGGTATGTTTTATAATATCTGAAATTTTACTAATTTTCTCATCTGGTTTACACCATAGTGACACACAAACACGAAATTTTAAGTCCTCGTAAAATTTACTTGTTTTTCCATCATTTCATCATGGTTATACATACCATTTTCCGGTATGTTTTATAATATCTGAAATTTTACTAATTTTCTCATCTGGTTTACACCATAGTGACACAAACACGAAATTTTAAGTCCTCGTAAAATTTACTTGTTTTAGACATCATTTCATCATGGTTATACATACCATTTTCCGGTATGTTTTATAATATCTGAAATTTTACTAATTTTCTCATCTGGTTTACACCATAGTGACACACAAACACGAAATTTTAAGTCCTCGTAAAATTTACTTGTTTTTATCCATCATTTCATCATGGTTATACATACCATTTTCCGGTATGTTTTATAATATCTGAAATTTTACTAATTTTCTCATCTGGTTTACACCATAGTGACACACAAACACGAAATTTTAAGTCCTCGTAAAATTTACTTGTTTTTAGACATCATTTCATCATGGTTATACATACCATTTTCCGGTATGTTTTATAATATCTGAAATTTTACTAATTTTCTCATCTGGTTTACACCATAGTGACACACAAACACGAAATTTTAAGTCCTCGTAAAATTTACTTGTTTTTATCCATCATTTCATCATGGTTATACATACCATTTTCCGGTATGTTTTATAATATCTGAAATTTTACTAATTTTCTCATCTGGTTTACACCATAGTGACACACAAACACGAAATTTTAAGTCCTCGTAAAATTTACTTGTTTTTATCCATCATTTCATCATGGTTATACATACCATTTTCCGGTATGTTTTATAATATCTGAAATTTTACTAATTTTCTCATCTGGTTTACACCATAGTGACACAAACACGAAATTTTAAGTCCTCGTAAAATTTACTTGTTTTTAGCCATCATTTCATCATGGTTATACATACCATTTTCCGGTATGTTTTATAATATCTGAAATTTTACTAATTTTCTCATCTGGTTTACACCATAGTGACACACAAACACGAAATTTTAAGTCCTCGTAAAATTTACTTGTTTTTATCCATCATTTCATCATGGTTATACATACCATTTTCCGGTATGTTTTATAATATCTGAAATTTTACTAATTTTCTCATCTGGTTTACACCATAGTGACACACAAACACGAAATTTTAAGTCCTCGTAAAATTTACTTGTTTTTATCCATCATTTCATCATGGTTATACATACCATTTTCCGGTATGTTTTATAATCTCTGAAATTTTACTAATTTTCTCATCTGGTTTACACCATAGTGACACACAAACACGAAATTTTAAGTCCTCGTAAAATTTACTTGTTTTTATCCATCATTTCATCATGGTTATACATACCATTTTCCGGTATGTTTTATAATATCTGAAATTTTACTAATTTTCTCATCTGGTTTACACCATAGTGACACACAAACACGAAATTTTAAGTCCTCGTAAAAATTTACTTGTTTTTTATCCATCATTTCATCATGGTTATACATACCATTTTCCGGTATGTTTTATATTCTCTGAAATTTTACTAATTTTCTCATCTGGTTTACACAATAGTGTCACGGAAGTTTGTCATTTCCTTTTATAAAAACACTAATATGACAGATCACACTTAAATTCTTTGACGCACAGGATAAATAAATAGCTGCATCTCGATCCGTTTTAAATTACTTTGCACCGAAAACATTTGCTTTAATATTTCTGCAAGGTTTGTTAGAATTTGATTAGGTCGCTTATTTACTGAAAACTGCTTCAAATTATTGTTGAGATGTCTTCCAATATAAAAAGTAAAGTAAATTCACGAGGGAAAAGTTTATTCTAAAAAGCAAGAGACCGGTAAGATTATGTGTACGTTGACAGTAAATGAATTCTCAACCAGAGTTCTATCTGAACGTCAAGTTTATTTTTGAAGAAAAAAGAGCTATCGATTTCTCAAAGTGAAGCGCACAATGTGTACAGAAAGAAAAAACGTATTGCAGACAGGGTAAAAGAATGATAAACTTTTTGTACCCTCTTTGATTAATGCAGAAAATATTGACTAAATTTGAAATGTAACAGCTATAAATCACATGCTCTATAAATATTTTTAGATTGATCTAATGTCATCGGAGAAGAGCCTCAATCCGATGGTTTTGCTATATCTTGATGGACATGGAACGGTTAAAGCTGCTGGTAATTCTTCTATCAAAAAGATTTTAGACTTGTGTAGAAGTTAAGAATTGAATTGGATTATTTTTGTGTTTAAAATACGATTGTCGGTATAGAAGTAATGTAATCAATTCATTTAAACAGGAACGCCCGGCCTTCGTCGAGAAATCTTGAATATTTCCCGAGATGCCATGTGCAAATATGTTGAAGACAATTCTTTGATTACAACTGACTCCCCAAGTACTAACTTTTATTTTGTTGTTTCTAAATTGTATAAAAACAAATAAAGGTGTCACAATGCTGCAATAAAGTCTGTATCATTTTATATTAGAAAGCTGTGAAGACGTTTATCAAGTGCAGGAGATACGCTCTGATCTTGTTGATCCTGATGCTTTGGAAGAAATAAAACAAGGGACTTGGTCGTGCAAAGAGCTACGGAAACTGGTTTTAAATATGGTTCTCCCAAGAACAGCTGACATCGGTAAAACTATTTTTGTATATTTGTGAGTAACTAATTTCTGATATACAACGGCAGACCTCGTGAATTCAAGATTGGTTTTAGACAAGAAAGGAAAACGGAAGTGGAAAGTGGCTAGAGTGAGAGACTTTTGGCTTAAAGCAGAGAAACCGTTGTTTTGGCCTCCTCACATCCCATTTGTTTCGCCATCTGCCAGGATTAATCAACCTTCAGGTAAATCAAGTGAATCAATCTTCAATATTTTCATTGTTTTTATTTACATATTGTACACCATTCTCAGAGGATGATTACGATGAAGAAGAATTTGATGATAAAACAGAACGCTCGAGAAAAATTTTAAATAAGAAAGAACTGATAGAGATCGCTCTATCGTATGGAGAATACGTTCATGAAGTGAGTATTATTGTTGTAGATTTAGTATATAGAAGACAACTCACTGCTTCTCTTAACTTTTGTTTAATTAGTTTACTGGAAATGAAAAAAATGAAGAGACAACACAATCATTTGGTCAAGGAAGACAAGAGGTACACACTAACCATCTTTTAAGAAATAATATAAGAACATTTAAACACGAACTGCTATTTGCTTTTATTCCCAAGAAAACTAATCGAGATGCGAATGTTGGAAAAGATACGTATACAAGCGAAGAAGATAAAAGAAGTGATGAGAGCGAGAAAAGAGAAGATTTCGAAAACAAATTTGTTGATAACGAAGCTGCATTAAATAACATAAAAGAGGATGAAAGGGTAAATGAACGTCCAGGAAATTACAAAAAACAGCGTACCAAAAATGAACGTTTTTTTCTATACCCATCAGGAAGAGGATACACAATTAGTGAATTTACAACAGATGAGAGACATGTACGAAAAAGTAAGAAAACTTTTAGAAACTCACATTTATTTTTAAATTTCAAAACGATACCACAATCCATTTTAGAGAGAAATAGCTTGTATTGTTCGCGCAATGTTAAAAGACCCCCTAAAATATGTTGAAACAGCCTACGAATTGTTGGACTTAGCTGATACACATCAACATCCTATTACGAAAAATTTAAAGTATGAAATGCTAATGTTTATTGACTGATTGAACGGTTCTAATCTAAATGACAATTTGTTGATTCCTTAATAATATTTGAGTAGGTCACACGAAAAAGACCTCATGGGCGTTCCACATGATTACGACACAAGTTGTCCTGGAGACATTTTCAACGCTTTAAGCATTGATCCCAATAGACTTCAACTCGATTCATTTCTATACGGAGTTGCACATCAATGTCATTTGGCATCCGAAGTAATATTTTGCTCTGTAAATCTCTAAGTTTTTTTATTTATAAAAGAAACACATCTTTTTCTAGCGCTCACGACAAACAAGTAAAGCAATTTCAAATGAAGAAATTATAAAAGAAATACAAGATTTCAACACTGAAGGTGAACATTCTCAAAATTCAAATCACGAAGAAAATTCCTTAATATTAAACAAATTTAGAAAACCTACATGACAAGCAAATTATTCCCTTTTTTAGAGGTTACCCTTACTAACACGCATGTTCAATGCATTGCTGGAGCACTTCGTGCGTCATTGGAAATATGGAGTCCCCAGTTTGAACTATTTCATATCTATTTTCCGTGTTTATGCCAAGTTACGGACAACGGAGGAATAGGCTACTTTAGTTTGACAGTTGGCAAAACTTTTTAAAATAGTTATGTATTTATGGAGCAAACACATGAATGTCTCATGTAAATGTTTCTATTGAATATGTGAAAAAAATTCCTGACGATAATAGAAAACTATATCTTTGACAGGAAAGAATGCAGTGAAGAGAGTTAAAGGTGACATTCATATATTGAAAATATTTGACAAAAAGGAAAACGACAAAGGTAGCATCAATGCCTTTTTAGAGTGAACTGTTTTGATGGTATTGTAATATACAAGAGTGATGTCGAAACATTAAATGGAAGCAAGTGGTTGTGTGATACCATAATTGACTTTTTAAGGTAATGTGAAATGATTCAAATCTAACATATAGAAGGAAGCAATAAAAACTTTACAAGCTAACTTAAATTACATGAATGCAATAGGTATTACTGCAAAACGGCAGAAAGAAAAGACGATGGGGAACAATATTATGCCTTTTCTAGTTTTTCCAACAGAAACTACTCATGAAAGGACACGTGTAAGTGTCCGGTTAAGATTTCACCCTAGATTCTAGAGATAATTACATGTTATAATATTTGCAATTTTTCAGATCAAAGCGACCATTAGATCTTTCGGGATGCAACTTACATGGAGTGAGGAGATACACACCTAAAAACATGTATCAATATAAAATGATTTTTATACCAGTCTGCGACATGTAAGAATTTTACAAAGAAAATCAGTTTCTATAGTTCAATTCTATGAGATACTTGAGACATGATATATTTTAAAGGACACATTGGTGGCTAGTGGTCTTTGAAGTTTTCACAAGTCGTTTATACGTGTTGTGCAGCATGGGTTGGAAGAATAAAACTGTTGCTTCAAACATAAGAAGGTTGTTATTTCTATACATACTGAGCTAACAGGTTGCCTCTTTTGATATGTACCGACATGTTTTCTAACTTCATAAACAGCTTTTTTAACGTTAAGGTATCTCCAACACATAAAAGAAGAGCAACAATGGCCAGACCACATGGGAAGCATTTCAGAGCCTATTTATGCGGATGTAAGTCGAGTAATTGTTTGACAAGCATAAACACATTGATCTATAAAGTCAATGTATGGATATGTCACAAACGTTGTTATTTAATCACCATTCAGGTTGCAAGGCAAAAAAATGGTCACGATTGCGGCGTATATTTGTTAGAGTTTGCAAGAGTAATAATAAAGGAGGTATTTTGTTATGTAGACATTTGCTGTCGCAAAATACGCAAATAATTTAAAAGCAACATATTCCAGTATGTGACATATAACAGATAATTTTATCATATTTTAGGGATGCATCAACTCATCGATAGAAAATATAAACAGTGAGGGAAGACGTACGCAGCTAAAAGAGCTTCTTCAGTCCCTGTAACAGTCGACCTGTTTACACACAATGAAAAACAGGCGTTATATAAATGGTCAATGCTCGGCACATTTGTTCAATTACTTCTTCATATAAACTCTGATTGTGTCATGAGGTGCAACATTACTACTACATAGAATAATCGTGGAGTAAATATATATACTTAATAACTAATGAGTACCAGCATTATCCATTGACGTTGAAAAGCTATAATATCGTGCGAGTTATGATTTCAACATTTTAAAAATTGATTTCATTCATTTTCATATCCAAAATTTTTCATTATGCTATAAATGCGAAAAATATGAAGCTGTTTGAGGACAAAATGTTACAGCTATACGTTACGCAGACATGTCATAAATATGACGTATTTTCTTTAAAATGATGAATTTAGAAAAATATTTCAACTGTTACTTAGACTTTTTTTGTTTGTTCCAAAGTGTTAGCATTTCGTTTCAACATGGTTCCCAATTAAATAATACTGGTTTTCAAATACTACTTATCTGATAATATTGCTGATTGCAAGAAACGTTTCCCTCTCTGGAACATCCCGTCCAGGATTGCATTTTATTATGCGCAACATGTTTCTGTACCAAATATACAATTTCGAAAATAGCAAAAAGTTGTCATATTCCATGTATGAAACCATTGACGCAAGTGGCTTCATTACAGAGTTACACTGCTCTGCAGCTTGGCTGTTGTGCGTTTTTAAAATGGGATATCTATTAATATCGTATCCCTCAGAGCAACCTATAAGAGTCAAAGATATGAGTCGTTTCAATTTCGACACACTTAGCATAATAAAATACGAGTTTTATACCAGAATGGTTTCTCCAATGAAACTTGTCGACGATGAATTTGGATTTTTTAAAAAAAGCAGGATCGCGGTTAAGGCAGTACTCGTGTAGTTTGCACGCGTTGTCATAGATCACTAGTTCAGGAGCTAAACATTATAAGTTTATTTGTTTACAATTGGGAGTAACGAAACGCTAACAATTTCACAATTCTCATAAAAGAATGAGAAATACCTCAAAAACTTCAAATTACCTTCAGAAAATCGAGTTCTTAAAATGGTAAAAGGAACATTGGGTGATTCATGATCGGGCATCACTTGAAAGCCGTAACAAATACCTAAAAAACAATAAAAAATCTCATAATTTTTCAATGAGGAGAGTTTACGGGATGAATTTTCCTGTCATTCTATGATCAAGAACATTAATGCTTCTTTGCCATACCGTGCGGACATAAAATAAGGAATATCCCAGGAATTAAAGACCCATGCTTCTTCTTTGAACGAACGCCTTTGGCACAATCATCTAAATGACCAGCTCTTTTGTGTCAAGAACATAGTGCCCACGTTCAACAAGAGAAGGCAAAGATGGAAAAAAACCTAACTGACCATCACACTGAACTTGGGGAAGGTTGTGGGGCAAACGCTCACACCCGTTTTGGTCAGTAAAAGGACTGGACGCTTTGGCGACCATTTCCCCACACAAAACACGTATGGGGTTTGGCAGCTCTGCAAAATGATTGCAAAGACAAAACAAGAGGGGGACCTGTTCGTGCAAAAGTTGTAAATCAGACAATGGATTGTCCTTTGGATTTGCTCCGTTGGCAATTCTGATCAACAAATCCTTCACCTCTCTCACAGGAGGTACAATTGCACAAACAGGTTTATCTGACGCAAGTGCTTTGAGAAGTCTTATGCAAGGTTCTGGAAACGTGACACCAAAATGTTCCTCTCTAAGGGATACGATTAGCATTTTAGGCCAGGAGATGAAATCTAAATAAACGAGCAATAGTAAAATAGCCTGTAAAAATAGCTACAACATGTTCTTAGCATATTGTACATCAATAAACAACTAACAACATTCATACTTCCGAGGTTAATTCCACGAGTTCGTCTTCTGTAATTTGGTTCTTTATAAATTTCTTCAACAACTCTCTCTGCCTCTTCCGATTGAGGAAGTTCCGCGTTTCGAACCTAGTGTTGGAAAAATCCGCCCCAAAATAAAACACATGTCCAGCTAGCCAATGAAAAATACACACCCAGAAAAACACTTATCTTCCATCCATCGTAGGGCCTTCTGGGGAGCTACCTTACGAGGCAAGAAGGTTTTTTGGATACCAAGTGCCGTACCGTCCATAACAACTTTTTTCGGATGTTTTCCACAGATGTTACAATGAAAAGCGTCAACAAAGTCAATGTCAAGTAATCTAAATAGCGTAAAAAATCAGTGTTGTATCCAGCAAGGATTTTTTAGATCTATGGTTAAAAACCAATTAACATAGTTATTCTTAAAAGCGGATACAATACTGCCTGTTTTGTCAACAAAATAAATAAGAATGCCATTTGATCTATTCAGTGTTGCCACTTCATAAGGAAAGTAAAATGATAGTAAATAAATGTTCAGACTTTCTTGGACATTAAAAGTAGGATAGTGTTTTCATTTTTTGTACCTCTCTATGTACCCTTTGTTGACCATTACCTACAGGTGGGAGCACCTCTGTGCACCTACACTCCCCACCCTTATCATAAATTCACCACCAATGAAATGATCAAATGCTAAACATACGTAAGTGCTACAGATATATATATATATTGGTAGCATACGTACTTTATCATTTATATTTAGCATTACAACAAAAGTTAATTTAAACAAACGAATATCCGATCAAATAAACTTTTAAATACATGTAACTCACCAAAAAATTGGTGCAGGTTGAAATAAAAAAAAGTTACCTAATCATTGCAGTAACTGCCAGACGAAACTTGGTGTAAGTTATAATGCCAGAAAAATTCAAATTTCCTGACATAACTTGTCTTTGGACGTACGTCACGTAATATTTATACATGGGCAGGCTAAACCATTTAAAAGATGAAAAGATATTTTCATGAATTCATAATTAATCATGTAGATAAAAATGTTTACTTCATACTTGATAACTGACTATCACACGTACCTTGAAACCAAAAAATGCCTTATATAATCTTTGAGGACTGCATGCGAAATGGAAAATGATCCAAACCACAAGACGTTGTTCTCGATACCATTGTACCGCTTCTTGTTTGTGCATGTAGAACACGGTCGATAATACACTAAAAATTCACAGAAGATTGTAGTCGTGACACTAATACAAAGAAAGTAATAAATAATTCAGTTTACAAACCATTCACACAGTGGAAATCATAAAGATACGCCACATGACAGCCTTCCTCATCCAGCCAGTCATCTGATACATCACGCTTATCCCAAGCAGCACCACAAGAGCAAGTACCACAAGCACTAGGTACGAATATCTTTGACCAGTTCATAGCCAGAAGCTTAGCAAAATGATTGGCATCATTCTCATCACAACCTGTGTGAAAAAATGAGTATTGAAAATTAAATGACGATTCCATGTTTTTGGCCACCCATTACACAAACACATGTATATTATTTCCATTTACTACACTACTTTACCTATTTCAAATAATTTAACTTTTTTTTCACTACGTAGTAATTTCTCATTTAAGGTGAGGTTTCAAAAGCTAACTTAAAATGTGCTAGCTGCGAGTCGTCATCATCTTGTACGATTTCCAGCGCCTTCCCAAGAGTTGTAACATGAATGCAGAGGTAAGATGAACAATTAGAACATCTAGCTCTGCTTGAGGTAGTGCTACTTTAGAATAAGTAAATGTGCACACCCCCATTCGCGATTGACTGGTTTTACAGCAATCCAGTTGGGACCACCACTAACGGCTTTAAACAAGTCCTGTAACATGAAAGGAGCTATCGTAGAACATATTATAATTTAATCAATGACTGCAAGTAAAAACCTCTTTAGGAAACATTCCACAGTATGAATGATCTATTGGGTCAGATGTTCCTGATTTTTCCACAACTTAAAAATTAAAAACAAACATACCATCAATTTTATGCAAAATTACTTTTTTCACAGGTTGGCATGATATTAGCATACTGTTCTCATATAGCAAAATAACCACCATTCTGCATTATTACATGTTTCTGGATGTAGATCGTCCAGGTTAGTAGAGTCCTGAAAATGACTGTTATTGTTGGTGTTGACTGACGTTTCTACAACCTTAGTGGTAGTCATCTTCAAAAATTTTGATCTGAACATCAACACAAACAGTCCTTCTCAGGACTCAACTACCTGGACGACCTACATCCACAAACATGTCACGATACTCCCGAGTTCAAACCATTTACTTTATTCTGCATTATGAGAACAATAACATACTCTTGAAAAAACTTGATTCTTGTGAGGTTATTCCCAAATTTTCATCATAAGTCTCCAAAAATCTTTCCATTGCCAATATATGTAAGCATTTTGGATAGCTTACAACTATTAAAAGAGTATTCCAGAAGTTAGTGCTTAAATTTACAATTAGTCATTTTTAATAATCTTGTATACCTTTATCTGTACTTAAATTAGTATTTGAGCTAAGGGCCTGCACAAATTCCAGTCGCAATCGATCACATGAACAGCCAAACAACCAGACAAATCCATTTACACGATAATGAGGGTACCGATGAACAAACACATATGAAGTGTGCTTAATTAAATGTAAAATATATATGAATATAACATTATAAAATACATTCACTACTAAGGAGCTCACCATAATTTTTCTTTTCTCCACATTATAGTCAAGAATAGCAAATGATTGATGTTCCCCCAAATTTGTTACTGCAGAAAATTGAAGCAATAACCCAGTATAATGCAAAACAGCTGCAATATTTTTCTAGAAAAAAACAATACATTTTGTTGGGAACTTAAATTCTTTGACTCAAGTTTAAATTGTTTCAAGAGGGAAAATAACTCCAGTCAACAAGTGGTTACAGTTTTTCTTCTAGGCAGAGAACGGAAATTACATTCATGATAAGTTTCATATGAAAACATTGTATGCCAGGGTTAGAGTGGTCAGTGTTAACACGCATATGTGCTTCCTAGGTTGTGGTAGGGTTCTTTTCTGTGAGACCAATGCATGTTATGAGTGTGTTGTTTCTCCTAAAGTTTTACATTATCTTGGTGATTATTTGAACAAGTTTCCATTAAGGGAGAAATATTTATCTTGTTGACATAGTGATTATTGAGTCATGAATAAGTTGTTATGATTGTCAATAATGTTTGATTATGAATGCTAACTGAAGTATTTAAAGATTTATTTGATATATAATATTTTATGATATGCTTATTAATTTGAGAAATGAAAAACATGATTAAGGTGTTTCACTATAAACATTACTCACAATAAGCTTAGTCAACTTATAGTCACTTTTATATATTTATACATAAACATTGTGTCCTCCTCATGATTACCATATACATAGATGGTAACCCTGCACTTTGGCAGAAAGTATATTATTGCATATTATAGGTGAGGATCACATTAAATACATTATAGTAGATTGCATCAAGCATAAAATCCTGAGTTAAGTTTTAAACTATTAAGATTTCATCTTATCTGTGCTACTTTATTTCATATTGCTCTGAGCACTATATTTGTATCTGCAAGTTGCACTTACTTCATCAGGTTGAGATTTGTCGACATCAACGGTAATAGTTTCATCAATATTCTGGGAAATCTAAAGAGTTTATAATATTACTTTGGCTTTCTGACAAGCATAAAGAATTTACTGTATTACTTTACAGAAACCTGAATAATTCAACTAAAAACTAACCAGATGCAACGGTTGTTCAAGAGTGATGTTTGACTCAACACATTCTTCTAACAATGGATGATCATCATGCATTTCCTAAGAGAAAGTTTGCAATGCTCCATATATGATAAGTAACATATTTAATTTTTCATTTCACCTAAGGTTCACAACTTTAATGCAACACATCCCACACAGATATTTCAGACTTCATAATTTTGAGATACTTAGAGACTAACCACATTACATTCCACTTCGTAGTCTTCGTTTGATTTAGATTGACTGCTATGAGGGGCCATCTATTTTGTGATGAAACAATGTATTATAAGTTGTCAACTAAAACATATTTCACACATATGTTTACTACCACTAAACAATTAACTTGCAATAGGAAGAAAATGTATCTGTTCGGCGCTGCTGGTGGGCTTACAACAATCAAGCTTAAATGCAACATATTTCCTTCTTACCTTTCTGTACAAGCTTTCGTTGAACATGCCAAAATTTTATAAGCAACATAATTGTACTAATATGTACAGAGACCTTGCAGAGAGCAAAGTAGGAACTCCAAAATAGTTCACAAATTCCAAAGTCAACTATCAATTCTTGCACATTAGTGAATATGTTAAAATATTTAAACCAAAGAGGGCTATCTATATGTACTTGAAACAATGTATACCACCACAATTATCATCCGTAGATAACTCCCCTACAAATGCAAGTGAATGAATGGCTTTAATAATTTCACAATCATAAGCATTATGTAATACGAAAAGCAGCTTGATTGTTTGTAGCCCACCAACAGCAAATTTCCATCATGAAAGTATATGGATGGAGAGTATTATCTCAAAAATCAGATAATGTGGTAGTTGAAATGAAACTTCATTTCTTAAGTTGAAGCTGAAATTGAGTTACTTGAAACAAATTAATTTTTATCCTACTGAATCAATAGGTGATCGTCGATGACCTCGAGTGTAGAAAAACGTGTTTGAACGCTTAAACTTTTTCCCAAAACGATACATTTTTTCATTAACCTTCGAAACTCCAATAGCCAATTTGTTGTTAGGAAGTTACTACTCCATGTGACTTTGATTTAACGGAAGATATCAATTTGCATTATCATATGAATTAAATATCTAGTAGCAAATCTACTACAAGTGTAAATATCAAAATATGCCAAGTTGCCAACTTGTGTTAACTGTGAGAGTTATTTTAAACATATTATTTCAAATAAAACATAAAGATTCCATTAATGATCACTCTATACGTGTTAAAACATAAAAAAGTTTGTAAAATGTAGATGGTTGTAAGTGTGGTTATGCCAGGGGCGGATCTAGGATTTTTCAAACATCAGTCATAAAACGTCGAAGGCGCTCCCCACCTGGGGGGGTCTGAGGCATTCTCCCTGAGAAATTTTGAATTTAAGAGCCTTGAAAATGCCATTTTCAGCGTTTTAGAGCAATACAAAATGTAATTGTGCGCATCGTTTTTGCGTAAAAACAACACATTTTGCTTACGTTTTTTTCAAAAAAAAAAAAATGAAGTGAACAATACTTGAATGTTTTGCCAAATATTTAGGCTCATCATCATGCCTAATATATGGCTCATTAGCATGTCTAGGAACGTAAAATTTATTTTACAATAATGCTATTCAAAAACAGATATAGTCTTTAAAAATTTCTACCAAGTTGTCAGGCATAGACTCCCCTAGAGACCCCCATTCAAACCTCTATGTAATGAGTTTAGTTAAGTTAGAAATTTGGTACTACAAGTGACAGTTCATAGATATAGAAAAGCTCAGACTTCAAACCATGCAAGTTTATTGTAACCCTTTACCCATCTCCACATCAGTATTAGCAAATTCACCTTTTGAGAAAAAACTCAAAATTTTTTTCTGCCAAAGATTAAGCAAAAATTATCAGAGTGAAAATTTGCAGTTAAGGACAACTTAATGCCATAAATGTTTATTAGGCATTTCACTTGACTATTATCTTCTTCAAGGTGTGCTATATAGCAATCACTAGTAGCATTGTATTATCAAATACAAACAGAATGTAACCAACATGTCTTTAATTATATAATTACATGAATGTTAAAATTGGTTCATGTGTCATGCTTACTGGTTATGATAAATATCTTTTCATATGATCAAAGCTCGTTTAAATGTAAATCTGAAATAATTTAGTTTAGAAATTATAATGATCATCAGAAAAATTACCTAGTGATCATGAAAAATACTTTGCTGTTTTGCCAAATTTCAAGGTTTATCTGCATACATAGGAAGACATTTTTACTTTATAGAAAATGCTTTTCATACATCAATAGCCCTTTGGAATTTATGGCAAACAATCTGGTATGAGCCGTAGATTAACACAACTTTACATCTCTACATGAGGTGTTCAGTTAGAAAAGGGGACAATATGTGACATGGGACAACATTTCATGTATCTGAAATACTAAGGTTTAATACCATTCCAGTCAAATTGTCAAAATAAAAAGCTTCATGGATCAGAAGACTCAAAATCACAGGTTATAGTAAACAGCTTCTCATGTAATCAATGTTAGTTTTCTCAAATCTTAAACAATATGTAGTATAACTGTCTAATGATTGAATGATCAATGATCATAAACTGAAAAGTCCCAAACATTTGTTTATGATAAAGTAATAACAGTATGGCGCCTTATGGCTACAGATTTTTTGGCCATTGAAATATATTTGCAGGAATGTAGGATTTCGCTGCCATATACGGTCAAGATGCCCTAAGCACTAAAGAAATCATAGCTAAAAGTCCTTCGGCAACAACAATTTTAGAAGCATCCATCTGCTTACCATACGCCATATTAACATAAATCGCATCACACACTCGCATAAATTGACTTTGATATATTACATTCATGCATACACTTCAGTTGTCCTTTACTTACGATTTTGGATGTAAATTTCTGCTGATAAAACTCAAAACAATGTTGGCTTGCTTTTGAACATCAATGACTGAAATGTCGCTCACGAGATCGTCTTTGCCAAGCATTTACAATTCATCCATAAATTTTTCGCCCTCTTGAAAAAATTCCCAGTTTGGTAAAGCAGCATTCATGTCAACATATGAATTTGTAAAAGATTTCCATAAATTCCATCTGATTGTAGTTTAGTTTCTATCATGCTTTAGAAAATTATTATGAAACGATCAAACATTCAATTCAGACAGTGAGCTTGACTATGTTAGTTCAGTTGGCTATCAGTCGAAATAGGTCAAACCAATCACAGTAAGACAAAAATTTAAACGAACCAATTACACGATAGCAAGTGGACTCCCTTATAGGTCCGGCCACCCCTATTATCGGTCGAGATTATTCCAGACTGTCCACTGATCTGGCCATTGACCAATAAAATAGCGTTTCTGGCGTTCTTAGACTCCTTTATATGTCGAACCAGTCAAGCAACCCCGCTTATCAGTCGGTTATTCCAGGTCAATTAAAATTCAACTGATCTGGTTACCAACGAGATATTCATTGGATTAGTCATTAGTTTTCAATAATAAATAAAGCTGGATTTTTATCACGAAATAAATGCGATAATAAAGTAAGAATAATTAATGAATTTTTAACTAATATGAATAAGTAATTTTTGAGTTTCAAACATCAGTCGCGCGACGGATTTGACATACTCTAGATCCGCCCCTGGTGAATATAGCAGAGAAAAGACAGTTGCTGGATTACATGGCTACTAACTATGATGACTCAAAGAAATGTTTTCTAATAATATTTCTTCGCCTGTGAATTAAGTTCAATACAATGCACAAATAGACTTTATAAGCTATTCCGACAAAAACACTTTTGAGAATAGATTTTAAATTAAATAAGTTAAGAGGAAATATTCTATGTACCTGGGGACACTCAAAATCTATAATAAACAAAATGGCATGAGTTTAACAGGATAGAAATGACAATGAAGACGAAATGAATACAATATTTATTCTATATGCTTATGTTACATTTTAATGACAGAGGAAAGATATGTCATAACAGTCGTGACATTACATTGTAACTATGATGACTTTTAAGAAATGTTTGCTAACAAGTCTATCAATAAAAAGTCTATGACTGTCTTCTTTTGCTCATACAGTCATACCTGTGACTAAATGTCTCGTCACAAAACAATGATTAATTTTTTTGGTTAACAACATTTCTTTCAATGATTAGCAAAACAATATCTTTCTCTTTTATACACTATTACTGATAGTATCAATGGCTGTTTAAAGCTATTCAAATACTTACCAAGATGCATACTACATATATTTCCTATGTAAAAATGTTTATTTTTAATGTACATACAATCTTGGCTGCCAATATTTTTCTAAGAGGCAGAAAGCTCTAGCTATTGTTTGATGATTTAAAAAGTAGGAAAAAAATAAGAACAAATCAGTATTTTGTGTATAGCTGTGAACATAACATGTCACAAGCAGAGAAAAGACAGTTGCTGGATTACATGGCTACTAACTATATTGACTCAAAGAAATGTTTTCTAATAATAAAAAAAGTCCATCACTGTCATCTCTTACAAATATGTGTGACTTATGTCTGTACGAACACATTTCTTTCAAGCATTTTACTCAGCTGTTATAAAGAGAAACGAAACGACCTTTTCCTTTGTTACCCTCAATCTCTTAGTTTTAAATTCTGTAAAAGCAAAGCCATTTTAATATTTATATCCTTGCACATAGAACACAATATGAATCAATTTGAGAAGAGTTCATTGTTTCGTTTGCCAAAGTCCATTATATATAATTGGTACATGAAATAAAGCAGTCCTTGCCGAGACTCATATCATTCGTCAACATCGTACTGTATTACACAGAAGATACGGGTCGATTTTCTTGAGAAAAGTATAAAATATATGCTGCAATTTAATCCGGTTACCATGTCACCGTGAATCGTTTGTTAAATTTTCTTTTCGCATCATCAACATCCGTAAAAACGACAATAGTTTGCCATAATTTAAGATTTTTAGATAAGCCAAGAGATTTTTCTTGATTTTGAAGTCATTTTCTAGTTAACTTGCCCGCCATTACAAAGCATAAATTGATTAAACTTTATGTCTTTTAACGTAAACAACACTCCACGCAATTTCCACGCAAGTTAACTACGCAGTTACTTAACTATCCCACTAACTACGTTTTGTGCAACGCAGTTAAGTCGAGCAGTTAAGTTACTACAATTAAGGAGTTAACTACGGTAGTTAGCGTTAACTGTAGTTAAAGTTAACTACGTTTTTATACAACCGGCCCCTGATGGATTGACGACATTCAAGGGCTCTAACAATCATATTTTTTATTATCGACTAGTATTTTTACTTTGTTATTTTAGGCTATTTGATACTTTGACTGATTCACAGCGGGGGGTCATTTATTTTGAAGGTCTTATCTTTCGCTACATCGCAAAATTGCAATCACGCTTTGTTTAAAAAAGTTTCAGTTGTATCTGATATGGATTACGGTGTTGTTCAAGCTGCCTTTGCGGCAGATGATTGTAAAATTTTGGCAGGTTTTTATGTTGATCTTGCCAGGTAACTAAATGAGCAAGATGAGATATCGCTTGAGCAACTATTGGGTGCCATAAGTAGCTCGTCAAACAGCATTAGCAGAAATTATTGCGCGGAAACTTATATTCCTTTGGCTGTTCGAAATCAAAAGGAAAAATCGTGCATAGCTTTGAGGTAAACTATATATTTTGTACAATTTTTCTCATATTTCACTAACAATATGTAAGAATGTAAATATGCATACAAACGGTATTGATGACTTGCCTTGTTTACGTTCGCACGGTTTGCTGGCAGGCAGATAAATCTCAAGGAAGTTAAGCATTTTGCTAAATTGTGCTGTGTTTCCAAAACGAAAGCACTATACAAAGTCTGCTTGCTATAAGTTGCCAGCAAAACGTCTGGTTGTATATTACAGGTCACTTGTGTTGTGTAAATCTCATCAACCTTTCAACTTGCTGATTTTTGTGGTTTTAGACTCGTATTTTAAAAACTTTATGAATGTACAGTGAGATAAACTTTTCAAATTTTCAGTTCAACCTGCTTGTTGATTATTCCTTGATTCTTTATAATTCTACTATTAACTATCCTATTTGATTTACTTATATTCATTCCCTGCTTATAGTTGTCAGCACTATTACACATTTCATATAGAGAATGTAGATTTTGTCAATATAAAAACATAAAGTAAATATCATATTTACTCGAGATTTTATTGTCAGTTAGCTATTTTATTACTCAATAAAACTAAATAAGATTATAACATGATTATATAATACATTTATCAAATAATGTCATATATAGAACATTTTGGAACCAAACCCAAAAATTCTTTCATCATGAGCTTCATGTATTTTCAGAAGCTTCAGGGAATTGCTTGTACAGTTCCGTGTCTTTGACTCTGCTTGGTGATGATAGATTGGTTCCAACTTTAAGAATCTTAACCTCACTTGAGCTTTTCCTGAATGCTCATTTTTACTGTGAGCATCCCTGCTTTTTGTCTGCCATTGAAGAGCATCCTGATTTTTTTAAGGGAAGTATAAAAAATCTTTTACCTTTATCTGTCTCTGTTGAGTCCTTAGATACCGGTGCTAGTAAGGAAAATTTAGTGAAGAAAGAGGCTGTTTTTAATTGCAATGATGGTAAATGGTCATCATTTCTTTGTATTTTGGGTCTGTCTTCTGTTTTGAAAAGATGTATTGTTACATATTATCCGGATTGTGGACAACACAGGCTCAAACTTTTATTTAATTGTGTTATTCAACCCCGCTTGCATACTACTAGGGTTGAAAAAGAAGTTCATATTCTATTCTGCCATGAAGGTGACATAAGAACTGGAGAATCATTTCAGCCTAACCATTTTGTCCCTCTTCTTTTTCATGCAAGTGCACACAAGCGAAAGTCTGCTGACATTACACAAGCCACAACGTCAGCAAAAAAACGTAAGGTGCCTTCCTTATTTTCTAAGAAGGTGGCAAAATTTTCTTCTGGTAATATTCCAATTATTTCTAACTTTTTTACTGCATCAGAAAAACAGCCATCCAAGTTATTTGAAAAAAAGCCCAATGAAACTTTTTCTTCTGCCAAACAAGTTCCTTCTTATATCTCGTTGAAACAACCAATTAAGTCCTCCGCTAGTCAATCTTGTCCAGAAAAGAAGTATCATTCTGTGCATAATTTTGATGTTGCAACTTACCAGGATAAAGTTAAAGGCTTGGATACTTCTGGTGTTCTTCAGTTGATTAAAAATATTTTCAGGCCTGATGAGAATTTTTCCTTTCCTAAGACTGGTGGTAGGAGCTTTAGATATGACTGGCTATGCTACTCCCCATCAAAAGATGGTGCATTTTGTTTGTCATGCGTGCTTTTTGGTCATCGCTTCCCTGGTAAAGCTTCTAAGATTACAAATTTGTTTTCTAAACCGGTTTCACGCTGGAATGATGCTGCATTTACTTTTAAACGCCATGATGAAGGAGAAGTGGGGCTGCATGCCCAAACAAATCCAATTTTATTTACCTTACATGCTAAAATGTCAGGGTCTGCGCAACCAATAGAGCTGAACAAATGTAAGCTGTCTTCTATTGCTGATTGCATTCTTTTTTGTGGTCGTTTAGGTTTGCGTGGCCACCGTGATGATGCTAAATATCATCCAGAGGTTGGTCAGTATTCTACCGGGGGTGTTGGAAATTTTGTGGAGACACTAAATTTTAAAGTTCGTTCAGGGGATGGTGTTTTAAGGGATCACTTAACATCTTGTGGGAAAAATAGAAGTTACATCTCTAAGACCAGCCAGAATAAAATGATCAAGTGCTTTGGAGAGGTTATTACTGAACAGATTGTCAACGACATTAAGGTTAATAGGTTCTTTTCTATTATAGCTGATGAGGCTGCAGATTCTTCCCATAGAGAGCAAATGGCTCTAATTTTACGTTTTATTGATAAGAATATGGACATAAGAGAGGAGTTCATTGCCTTTCTTCAATGTAAGTGGGAATTGAGTGGAGAGAACCTTGCTAAATTAATTCTAGATAAACTTAAAGACCTTGGCTTGCCAATTGAAGACTATCGCCGACAAGGTTATGATGGTGCGGGTGCTGTTGCAGGTTGTGTTAAAGGTTTGGCTGCCCAAATTTTGAAGCTCAACTCGAAAGCATTATATACCCACTGTTATTGTCATAGGCTTAATTTGTCAGTTTGTGATTCTTTGTCAGATATTGAGGTTAAGAAAGTACTTAACAAAATAAAAGATGTGACAAATTTTATCAATATTTCTCAAACACGCAATATACCGTTTGAGGAGACTGTACGCAATAGTTTAGAAACGGACTCAAAAAAGACTAGATTGCCAGATGTTTGTAGAACCAGGTGGGTAGAACGAGTTAAAGGTTTAGACACTTTCGAAGAATTGTTTGTTCAAATTTTTGACACACTGGATAACATGGCAAAAGGTAGGTGGCAGTCCCTCTCTCGCTGCTGATGCATCCTCTTTGCTTGAAGGTCTTTCTGAGTTTCATTTTATCGCCCTCTTGGTTATTACCAGAAATGTTTTTGATCTAACGCTTCCTGTTACTCAGCTTTTGCAAGGAAAGAGTATTGATGTTATGGACGGGATTGAGTTGATCTCTTCTTTGAAAAGCAGTGTTGCACATGTGAGGAATTCTATTGATTCATATCATGATCAATGGTACGACATTGCGACATTACATTCATAGAAGAATGTAAACGTAGGACAATTGGAAGGCAAACTACAAGGCCTAACGCTCCTTATCGTTCTATCTCGGAGTATTACAAACGAATCTATACGATTCCTTTAATTGACCATCTTCTCTCGTCTTTGGATGCGCGATTTGACACGGAAAGTGTAAATGTTTATCAAGGACTAAGTATTGTTCCAACAAAAATGTTTTCTCTTATAAAAAATGGGATTGACTGGAGACATAAATTTAAGATTGTTTCAAAATTTTATGTTGCTGATTTACCCAATCAGTTAGGTTTAGATGCAGAGTTGTTATTATGGCAATCCTTCTTGGAACATCGTAAAGGTCCTTATCCATGTAATGTAGTCGGTTATTCCAGGTCAATTAAAATTCAACTGATCTGGTTACCAACGAGATATTCATTGGATTAGTCATTAGTTTTCAATAATAAATAAAGCTGGATTTTTATCACGAAGTAAATGCGATAATAAAGTAAGAATGATTAATGAATTTTTAACTAATATGAATAGGTAATTTTTGAGTTTCAAACATCAGTCGCGCGACGGATTTGACATACTTTAGATCCGCCCCTGGGTTATGCATACCATTTTCCAGTAGTAAAACATACCACAGAAGACACGTGCAAAATAGTATTCTGAGCCCGCAAATTTCATTAACGTCTACAACAATTTATGTTTCTTTTGTTGCAAATGACTTTGAAGATGACTACCGCTAAAGTTGTCGAAACGTCAGTCAACAACGCTTTTTGACTCTGAAGATGACTACCGCTAAAGTTGTCGAAACGTCAGTCAACAACAACAAAAACAGTCCTTCTCAGGACTATACCAACCTGGACGATCTACATTCACGAACATATAATAAATGTGCAAGGTATGCAAGCCAGTATAATGTCACTAAATCACACTAGATCTGTCTCCAATCATCTTGAAAATGTATTGTTCTGTTCAGTTTTGCTAGTGCATTCTCTTAGCTATACGCTTCTACTATCAACTGTTCTGCTGTTGAGCAACAGCACAACGTTTATAGCGCTGTAGTGTATCTTTGTGTTACACGCTAAGCAAACTTTTTCCTTTTTTCTAACTTTATGTAATAAGAGACAACATCAAATGGAAAATTGTTCGATGTTGTATTCGTATTGATGATCTCGACCTTACATTAACGGATTTACATGTGTTTGATTGCGACAATTCATGAAAACTTTCCTTTATTACAATTATCTTCTGCCGTTATTTTTACAATAATGTGAATTATGTTCAGTTGTATTGAAAAGCTTACCTTTTATTTGAAGTTTTCTTTCGGTTTTGTGAACAACTGCTCTTAAGTGTTTGGTATCATGTAACTGACTAACGTTACATGTGGCATGTGAGTCTCTTTTTATTCGTTGATTCCGCTTTACCATTGGTCGCTTTTTTTCATGCCAGGTTGGTATGGTTACAGTCTAGGAACAATCTGTGCGTCTATCCGTGCACAAAATGCACAATTGAAATTAGTAATAATGACAGGTGCGACCTTAGAAACAACAATAGCAATTCCAAACTTGAAACCCCCCATACAATTTACATGAAAAACAGTTTTAGCTACTCAGCTGCATAACTTTAGAATGGTTTACAGACTACACAGTAAAAGTAGCTGTACAAGATGCTGTATCAAAAAAGTGTCGTTTCCTTGTTCATTACGGTGACTGTACTTTATCTCAAAAGATTTCCCACCTTCTTAATTCCGCCATTTAGATAAGATAACGGTAAAGTTATTTTATAATTGCAAATGTAACTTCAAACATTAAAATTTGAAATAAATAACCTCTACAGAGAGGCTTAATTAGGTACGTAAATGACTTTACTAATTGACAGCACAATTGCATCATAGTGACGTTAATTTGAAGAAAAGCATTACACTAAAGAACTTTAAATGAAACCGATGAAACAATTTGCCAAATTTATAACATTGTTTAATTTGAAAGGATAGTTCGATACATGTGCTAGAGTGCCATATTATAATTTCACGTGATACATTTGGGCTTTTAAATCCTACAATATATATATGTAAATAAATGACGGGCACCTTGATAAATACATTTTGATAAATTGACTTATACGAAAGTGAACTGTGCGAGAAAGTGGAAAAACGTTTCTTTGAAAATTTCTAATCATAATATTTTTGCAGCTTGAAGAAGCCTAAGAAAATGGCTTAAAAGCTTTCAAGCCATAGTTGTATTGCAAAAATGTATTTTCACGAGAGAGTTTATAGATTCTCGTCACTTTTTACTTTCAAATTGAGCAATACGGTTAGCCACTGAACATCGTTCTGGTACCTCTATATTAGGATTCTTGGAACTCCCTTCTGGGTTCGACCTATTGGGGTCTACTGAGCTTTTTGGCTATTTCGATTTCGAATTGTCAACCGTTTTTGTACCTTTTCTTGCTGTAAGGTTTATTTTCAACCTAACCATGTTCCCAGGAAACTTTTTCGCTGAAAAAAAGCTAAGTATCCTGCCAGGAAAAGTTTTTTTATTCTTTTCCACAATCGACTTACTCTGAGAATTTATGTGCGATACGAACGATTCCTCTAGGGCAAAGCTTTTTTTCAAATGAAGTACACGCTCTTTTGTAACCAAAGCCACCTTTCCGTTAGCGTGTTGAACAAAACGAAACTTATCGTCAAACATTCCTGAGTCGTATTCTGTTTTCATCAGCACGAGCGACAAGTGATGTTTCTTGGTCACAGTAGAGAAAATCTCAACCACTAACTTTGAATCAGATTTATTGAAGTAGTAACCTGTTATGGTGCCGATGTCGGGTGTATAAATTACTTCATCATACGCTCTGATTTCTTTCAGAGTTGGATCGAACTTCATGACTTTTATTAGATCACCTTCCATGCTGTAGGTGAGGAGTTTATGAAATTTGCGAAAACGCTCCTCTCGGTATACTATGATTGCTATTTTGTTATCAGAAGAAACAGTGAAAGTTTTCATCTCACCAAAGATTAGAGAAGGTTTACCTTTTTCCTTCAACTTCTTCAGAAAGAGTTCACCATCTTTGTAACATCCACGCACGGTGATATTCCTCTGGTCACCTTCAACAAATGCAACAACAATTCTTTCATCTTGTGTTACAGACATGAGCAGATTTCGTCCGTCTTTGTTGCCCAGGAACTTTAATGTAGACTGTTGGATTGTGCCATCTTGTTGAAACATTGTCAATTGATAAGTCTTTTTACTTTCACAACCAGAAAGAACATATACCACGCCATTGTTACCAACTGTCATACATTTAACTTCCGAATCATCAATCTCACAACTTTCTTTACACCACGGTTGAAGCTTTCCTGTTTCACTGTCGACTTTTTGGAGATTTTTTCCAGAAAAAATCAGCATTTCTCCTTCGTTGGTTATTGTGATTTGTTTGTAGACAAATAGGTCACTTTCATCCATGCGAAAATGATATTCGTGCCAAGGTGTTGAGGAACTCGTGACTCTTTCAACTTCTTTAAAATACAAAGGATGAAACATTTTCTCACCACATTTAATCAATGGCCAATCAAGAACTGCGTAACTTTTGGATGGGTTAATGGACATGAAATTCGCCAACAATAAATTGATTATTATTACATTGTCAACGTTTATAGCCCTCTCGTCTTTGAAAAGTGCTGGTTTCATTTTTGAAAACATCTTTCCAATTTCGGGCAATGAATGTAATATTTTTAGGTATACCATTGAATCCTTTTCTGCTGCCTCGCTATCATTATAATGTCGTAGGATAGAACTTGCGATGCAAACCAAGCACGCTATTATTCTTTCTTCAATTTTTAATGATTCGTTGTGAAATGCATTGCTTGCTTCTTTGTCTGCCTCTATAAAAGACTCTTGAGCCAACTTCTGTCGCTCTTCTATTTTTTCCAATTCTTCTTTTTTAGACTCCGCGAGGTTCAGTCTTTCAATGCCTTTTTCGTAATGACAGAGGCTACTTTGTACATCCTTTTTACACATTCCTTTTAGTGCGTCTAAGTTGCTTTCAATCACACCTAATAGTTCCAGTAGTGATTTCCCACTTTTTGCAACAACCGCTATCAGACCAAAACCTTCCGTTACTGGATCCATTGAGTTTTCTTCTGTTTTTGCTTCGTTTATTAATCTAAAAAAGGTTTCGTAGATTACAGGAATTATAATATAGAAAAGGTTGTTGTTGATCAAAGAACTTCCACTAGTTTCAAAACCATGCCGAATTTTTATTCCCTCTATGCAGTTTCTTTAGCTAAGTCATTAATTTCTGTCGTGATTGAATTCATCCATTGTTTTCTCTCTCTCGTTCATCTGCCGAACTCAAACATATTTGCATGGCAGTAGTTAAAATCAAGCGGGCTTTGTCTCGGGCGTCTCGTTGTAACTGTGATGCACAACGCGTACTTTTTGTATAAATATATGTTATGGCGTCAAGTAATTTGCACAACTTAGCTCATTTGTGATGTTTTATGAAACGGCTGCAATGATTTGTTCATTAGTACTCTTTATTTTATGAAAATAATTCACAAATGCGTAAATTTTTCTAAATTTTGTCATGATTAAAGGATAATAATAATAATAAGGTCCAGTTGGGTTGTTAAAGCTCGGTTAAAGCTCTGACAATAAATTGCAGAATGGTGCCTATTGTCGAATATATGGTAAATATGTATAGCGTAAAGAAAGAAGACACGGAAGAGCTTGAAAGGAATGCTCAAATGCACTTAGGGAGCAAGGAAAAACAAAAGATTATATACGGAAAAAAGTGTCGGTTGAAAAATTGAGATCATACAATAGTACTGGCAGCATGTAGTATGGCAACATCTAACAATGAGTGGATTAAAGTGCTATGAAGAAACGAATTCTTGAAGAGTATCATTGAAAAAATTGTAGAAGAAGCAATGGAAAAAGGTAGAACTTGACATTTGGGATGTGTTATGGGAAGATGCGAATTAAGTGAAGGTTGCGTAGATAGAAAGGTTCTATTGAGCTCAATTGAGCAATCAATTGAGGAAGGACAATAAAGGATTAAGAGGAAAAGCTTTGGATAAAGTAAATCACAAAGTAAAGCTCAGCAGGATTTGAAGACGACCATTAGGAATAGTTGAAATAACACACAAATCCAATAAACGCATAACCTTTCTTTGCTCTACAGGAACACTAGAGGAAAAGGGATCGGGGAAAAAAAATAGAGAAATGGGGGATCAGAGTAAGTGCCGAAGAAGATGGCGGCGGAAATTGCATAAGATGACATAGCAGCAACGCTTTGAAAGGGTTTAGCAATGCAACGGGCATTTGACAATGGAATGTTGCTGAAGGTGAAAAATACCGTGAGTCACTAATACCATGTGGATGACCACAGGAAAAACTGTGCTTTGCCAAAAAGAGGAAAATAAATGCAATTACCAACCGAAAAATGGTGTACTGGTAAGGCGTAAGTTGGTGACAGTAACAATTATCTGAGAACGGTATTGGGTTAATTATAGTCATATATATGATACGGTATCGACAATGGGAAGTCTCGACGTAGCAAAGAGTTTAGTTAAAAATGAAAAACCGATTTATTATGTTGCTGATAATGGTTTGAAAACATTAAGATCAGGACAGTCATCTTTCAAGCAAATTACTTATCACCATTATTGTATTAGATCTGTATGATTTGTCTCACGCAGATTTTATGGAAAATGAAAATTAGACTGGTAAACCCGTAATAAGGTCAGTGCTCAAATGATTGGACTGTATAGAGAAGTGGACAAACCATGCCCGCTTGAGGAGATAGATGGAAACACTTAAAAACCTAATGACTACAAAAGACAAAGTCCACTTTAAAACAATTACTATAATTATGAATAATTACTTTTTACAAATGCACTTTACTTGACCAAAACAAAATCTCTTTCTTACACACACACCCTTTAACTACCTACATGCAATGATGATTGTTACATGATAGCAAGTAATATCATTATTATATCATATTATAATTTCATATATTATTAATTAGGACATAATCTAGAAGCTTGCTTACATGCGTAAACATATTTTAGAACCGCAACCGCATTTGTTGTTATTGTGGTTAACTATATCTTGCTGTAACATACTGTATTGCGTATGGGATGTAGGTCACAAAACCACAATACTTCCCATTAGATATTATATATATATGAGTAGTTTAGACCACTGAGTACAACCTACGAGGACAACCTACGAGCACAAGCTACGAGGAGACAAACTTAGGAGGCATAGCCTACCGAAGTAGGTTGACAAGCTACAATCTACCAGACAACTATCTTGGCTTCTGTGCCATAACTATCTTTTCGCTTCTGTGCCTTTAACTTATTTGGAAAACTATTGTGAGTCATTGCTGGACTCACGAACGCTCAAGAATAAAGACTCGCGGTTGTACTTAGACAGAGGAGATAAGTTTTACTCATACTTATTGATATTAATATTAAGACACTTATCTACTTTAATATTTACGCATTAATTAATAAATTGTTTGAGAAATATAAATGGTTCACACTATCTTTGTTGCGTGTGAAAATAGAACCAAAATGAATAGTTATTCTTTAGGGACCACGCACGTAACAATGATGCACTCGCCGTTCTTAAAGAACATTTTGTCATAGTCCTTACAATGTGTTGAAGATGTATCTAATATATTATACATGTTGTTACTTATCCCATAATTAAAAAAAAGCAGATGTTTGTTTACGCAAAGAAATTTATTCAGTGGACTAACCGAGAAGGATTAAACCTTTAAGGCATATGTGATGTGGCAACCCTGTTAACTGTTGTCATTGAATGCTGTTTGCATTCTATTGTTTGATAAATTTACGCAATTTCTAGTGGGCCGTGTTCTTGAACTAACTTTACCTAACGAGTGCTACCCCCCCTAAATTCACAAACACAAAAATAAAAATAACGCAAACTAGTTTTGTCAAAGATTGAAAGTGGAATTTCCGATTTTACATCACCAATTATAAGATCGACGCTTTTGAAAATATTTTTTTGCTTTAGAAAATTCATCTGTGTATAAACGTCTACGCCAGAGTTTTTATATCACCGTCATGGACATCACTAAATCCCGGCTTTACCAGTCTAAATCCATTAGTAAATCCTGTGATGAATGATAAAACCTGTAATATATAGCCCTTGTCTAAGATTTAGATAAATCTGTAAGATAATACAATGGACTTATTGCTCTAATTACGTTCTCTTAAATGCTTAGTTATGTAATGCAACACTATAAAGTCTGTAAAACGTACCGTTAATTTTGCCAGCTATCACTTCTTCACAATTTTTGTCTACGTTAGATTACAACCATCAAATGCAGTCGAATACTGTTTTGCTACGTGGATAGCTGCAAACTTAAAAATGTTAACAATTTTGAAATATCTTTGCGGGAGTTAGATATTATAAAAAAATGTTTATTCTCTTTGTCAGGAGGGGAGGGATTAGACGGAAAGAATTTTGTTCATGTTTAATTAAATTTTCATAGCTGTTCTCAACATGTTTATGAATCTTATAGCCTGGTTACATTAAAAAAATCATTAATAGTCATGTAATAAATAGTTCACACATGACCATATCTAATGTGTGTGTCTTAAACGTTTCTCACTAGAATTTTCTCTCTCCTGGTAGCCAATTAAAACTGATTCGAAGGGGTTCGTCGCGTGGGAGAGGAGGACTGCAGAAGAATCCATTGACATACAATATTTTACACATCTTACCTTCCCTGTTAATGTTTGAAATATATTTCTCATCTTGAGTTTTTTAAGAGTTGTCGTGACAGCGTTACTTGTTCTTTATTTATTGATTAAAGAACACAAATATTTGTATTATTATTAGTCAGGACGTCATAGAGGGTTAGTAATTAACTCATGATTCGCGTCGGTGACTTGAAAATTTGATTTTGCGCAACACACAACAACAAACGTACTATAAATTTATAGTTTGGATAAAGTAGTTTATGACTGATAAATTTTATATTTCAAACGAATTCTGGGCATTTTAGCAAAATTCGAATGAACATAAGAAAACAATTTTTCACACATGCCTTCATATGTGTCAACATTGTATTGACAAGGTTTATTTTGTTGCATCTCGTTTAATATCCTCTGAAGATCTCCAAATAAAAACAGTTAATGCTATTTTCCAACCCGAAGGCCGATATAAATCGTCCAAAAACTTACGAGCAAAATTAATTTGTAACACTTATGCAAGACTATTTAAATTCATATTGTGACAATGACCTAATACACAGGCTATATATAGCCCAGAAAAATGTGCAATTTAATCATGTTCTAAAGTTTGCAAAGATCTGTAACAAAGTGATGAAACATTGCAGCGACTATTCACATGACATAAAGTTGTTTAAATGTAGATCGATTTCAATTCGACCGATTTTTTCATTTTTACGGTGGTACAACTAATTATATTGTTGCATGAGGATATAAGTGTTAGGAGGGAGATAAATTGGCACCAACAGGTTCTTGGATATTGAAAACACATTTAAACGCAATATAATTTTGTTGATACCGCGGCAATACGGCATTACTAAGTATGTAAAACTTACCCTTTATTTTGCTAACTGTGACTTCTTTACTATTTTGCCTCCGTTGTATTAGAGCCATCAAACTAAGTCGAATACTATTTTGCAACGTGGACAGCTGCACATTTAAATTGCAAACAATTGCAAAATAATCTTTGCGGGAGTTTTTTGTATATAAAAATAAAAGCTTTACTCGGGGGAGGGTTATGATCGGAGGAATTTTGTGAATGTTTAATTAAAATTCATACATACATTACACATGCTTATGAACTTTTTAAAAGAAAGAGACAAAATCGTCTTCTACTTTTAATGAAAGTATAGTAACTTCATTAGGGAAATTATAGTAACTACGACAAATAAGCAAATGTAATGTGAGTTTCTTGTATCTTTCAACTGCAGATTTTCTCTCCTGAAGGCCTCTGTCGGCAGGGAACCGTTGCGTGGGAGAGGAAAAGTGCTGTAGCAACTTTTGTATTTATTTTCCTAAAACAAAATTTTTGAAATATCTTTCTGTACTACGTTTTTGCTGAGAAAAGTTCAAGTTTTATAACTTAATTAATAAGCAAAATTAATAGTTTAAGCAATCTGTCTTCAAAATGTCATGGCATTTACTAATTAACTTATGATTTACCTCGATGACTTGAATATCATGGACGATGCTTTTAATGAAATACATTGTCATTGAAAAGATTTCACAATGCGTGTACTATGACAAACCTACCAACAATTTATAGTTTGGATGAACTTTTTCATGTCTATGAAACTTCATGTGTATGAAATTGCAGTGAAAGCAAAGTATTCGTCTTTAAATGAATGTAAAAACGCAATTTTATGCGGGCGTCAAGACGTCACAGGCAGGGGCGGATCCATCTTCGTATATGAACTTAGGCACAATGTCGCACCGTCAGCGCGACTTTTCTAGGCGTGGTCCAGGAACATGTACCCCCCGGTAAAATTTAAAAATTGGATTGCGAAAAACGCTATTTCCTGCGTTTTTGCAATTGGTCTTCTAAAATATTTATTACTGGAATGAGCTAACATTCTTGCTCATAAATTATCGATTTTTGACCGTTTCGCTCAATATCAGAGCTCATCAGCATGCCTAGGAAACTCGCATAAAAATAAGCTTTGAGGGCTTCCAACATGGACGGCCTGGTTCATTACAAACTTGGCCTAAAAAAATTCTTTACGCTTCATCAATATGGAATTTCATTTTATAATGGTCTAGTTATACCTATATGCTGATTATTATGCAAACGGTTTTATGTCAATTTATCAAATGAAGCTGTCAAAAAAAAGCAAAAAATTGTTTTTAGATGTCGATCGTCCAGGTAAATAAAGTCCTGAGAACTATTGTTTGTGTTTTTATTGACTGAGGTTAGCGGCAGTCATCTTTACAGTCTAGACTTTAAAAAAGGCATGAAGAACTTTCACTCCGAACTAGAAAGCTAGTTCAATTCTTCTTTTGTCTTTTGCAAAAAGATCTATAATCTTTTCTTTATCTGGATTAATGTCCTGATGAATATACAATAAAGCAAGACCATTTAACCTGTCAGCAGCCATAGTACTTCTTGTATAGTTCTTTAATCTTCGCAAAGCCGAGAACGACCTCTCACACTCACAAGAAGTGACTGGAATAGTACCTAAGATCTTTAACAATACTTTTATGTTCTCAAAACCTGGAAAATTTACCGACTTTAAAGTAGAAGAGACATTTTCAGGAAGACAAGTTGTAGAAGACGATTCCCAATATTTCTGCCAGAGATCAAGTTCACTATCTAAAGCCTTTGGATTTGGAAGATCATCCAAGAACAAAGAAGAAAATGAATAAATTTTTCTTTCCAAGAAATGCCACAAGAAAGACACAAAAGTAACTTTGATGGAATTAAAAACAAGCCATAATATATGCTAGTTGCTGATGAATCAAACCTTTTTTCTAACTCAGAACACAAGTAATCAGCTAAAAGAATGGTAATTGTTTTCTTAAAGTAATCAAATACAGATTTAGACAGAACATTACTTCTAATTGCCTGAAGACCACAAGTTCTAGGTTTTTTCCTCTTCAACACCCACCTTTTCTGCCATCGTCAATGCAATACTGTACCAGTTAGCATGATAAACATCGACTTCATTTCTTACAGTTCTCGACAATTTTTTTAATGCCTCAATCAAGTTAAAACCGTCAGCAATATCATTACTAGAAGACTGAAGTAACTGAGTAACTGGAAGAGTAAGATCAAAAATACATCTAGTTATTACGAGTGCTGCAATAAATCAAAAGATGTCAAAAGATGTAACAGAGGGGAAGCTTTACTAGAGGTCTCACGATTACACTTGCCTTCGACGTTAAAACTCATTTCTTCCAAGGAAAAAACAATAGCAACATAGAGTTCTTCAAAAGTATCTAAGCTAGTAATACGCTCGACCCCTCTTGTTTTACAAGCACTTTTCAATCTCTTTTTTTCAGAATCTGGACAGCGTTCTCCAATGCATTTCGCCAAAATTAGTTGTCTGCATTGGGAAGAGTTGAAAAAGTTAGCAACTTCCTTCACATGTTCCAAAACGTTTCTTACATACTGAACAGCACAAGTCCCAAAAATAATAAGATTTAATCTGTGACTGAAACAATGTGTGTAAATGGCTTTCTCATTCAAATTCTTAATCCTTGCAGCAAGACCATTAATGCATCCAGCAACAGCACCTGTGCCATCATACCCCTGCCCACGACAGTCCTGAATGTTCAAATTCAACTCTTCGTTTAAACATTTCAAAATCACAGATGCAAGGTCCTTCCCAGACATATCCTCACTACAATGAATGAAACGAAAAAATTCTTCTCTTATGTTGAACTCCTCGTCAACAAAACGCAAAACCAAAGACATCTGTTCTTTATTAGAAATATCACATGTTTCGTCTGCAAACAATGCATAAAACTTGCTCTTTTTTACTTCAACTAGAAGCTGTTCAGTGATGAATTGACCACAACACCTAATTAACTCATTCTGAGTAGTTTTAGAGGTGTAGGAGGCATTTTTATCATGATGCTTAAGATGGGTTTTCAAAATGGTATCCCCTGCACGAACACGGAAGTTTAATAATTCAATAAAATTAACGACATGCTTTTCAGAATATTCTCCAACTTCAGGATGATATTGAAAATCATCCCGATGACCTCAAAGTGGTAATTGAAGGCGACCTGCAAGAATGATGGTATCAACTACTGGAAATAATTTTTTCCTATTCTCTGAAATCTTTTTTTTAAGTTACTGTCAATCATGACGTTTATTGGCTGGCTTTTACCGGAACTCTGATCCAAGATATCCTTAAGGAGAGCCGAAGTGTGAACATGAAGACCTGATGATGTACTTATATGATTTTTTATTGCACTTTTAGCATCAAGCAAATGCGTTAATGGCTCTGAAAAAATATTTTAATTCGACTGTTTTTGGAGGGAAACCTATCACCAAACAAAACACATAGTAATCAAAAAGCACCATTAAAGGACACATGCAAGCTAGAAGACAACTTTATTTTATTGTAATGCCCAGTGGCGTGGTGGCAGGTGGGGCCAGGGTGGCAGGGCCCCCCTAGCTGTTGATTTTGGGGGGCGCTGAATTGAATACGAGTCATCAAGGTTTATAAATGGGCTATAAAAAATTAAAAACGCATTTGAAACAGTAACAGTTATTTTCGCAGTTATATATTCAGTGAATGAAGTCAACTTTAGGGAAATAGGGAAAAAGTAGACAGACCAAAATGAACCTTGTAAGGGGGTCGATTAAAGAATAAGATATTGACGAACATTCTATAACTAGATGTTTCGTTTGTGGCCACAACGCCTGCATGATTTGTCACGATGACTGTAGACAACATACATGCAGGGGAGAAACTAGAACTCTAATTGGGGGGGTGAATATACATATATTCAGCTTTGCTCTGCTGATTTCTATTGAATTTAACATCGCCAACAAATTATAACAGCCCTTAATGATACCGCAGCCTGTACTGCATTGTTTGTATTGTGTTATTTACATTTTCATTGTTACGACGATTCATTTGTCATTTTCAGTAGTAAAGCAAGTTATTATACGGTAAAACGTTTTTAAATCACTTAAAGCTTCTTCGTAAATGTTCAAGATTCATTTATCCGCAGTTATCGAATGTGCATAACAGCATATATTTAATTGAAATTAAGATATTTTTTAAACAACAACATTTTAAGACCAATTAAATTAGTGTCTCAAAATGAAAAACTCTCATTTTGATCAGATATAATTCCGATGTAGTTCGTACAACAAACATTTCATTTGATGATTCCACTTGTGTTGGGAAGTCTATTTTAATATTATTTAATGTACATCATGGATCATGGTACAATGTTAAAGACTAACTGCAATGTCTAATTCTTTCAACAGCACAAAGAGAAAAAAGTCGGGTGCTGAGTATCGAAGATGAAAGAAAGCTAGACAAGAAGAATTTTTAAAACTTTGGGGGGAGTTTTGCTTGATTACTTTAAACCTATACAAAATGACCCATCATGCATTTTGTCACAAACAACAGAGGAGTTAGAATTAAAACTCAGGGAAACGCCGAACATCAGTGAAGACCTTAAAAAAGTGCATGCGCAAGAAAAATCTGAGTCGACAGATGTAAACGATCAAGATGAGAATACTTTCAAATGAATTAAAAGCAGTGATTCTGTTGGTGAATGATCTAATATTGACAGCTTTGTCAATTCAAATGAACGTAAGGAAGTCGAAGGCATCTCAGAATCTGCTGAAAATGAATTGAATTGAAGTATTTCTATTGATACGAAAGAAAACACGTTTGATCCTGAAACAGTTGTTGATCTTAATCTCAGCATTAGCGAAAAAAGGCGTTTACTTAAAATGAATCCATGGCAACCATCCCAGTTTGTTTTGAAACAAAGGAGGATAGTACAAAGAGATCGCACTCGCTATTGCTCACAGCAGGTTTTTTCCACGATAATGGAACAAGACGAAAATGGATTTCCTATTCACTAAGTGAAGACAGCTTGTTTTGCATACCATGCATTCTGTTTACAGATGGAACGTCTAGGGGAGAATATATTCGGTCAAATCAAGGAAAAGCTTTTGCAAACATTGCTTTCTCCAAATGGAAAAAGCAGTATATTAGAATTCTGGAGCATGAAAAATGCAATTCTCATCTAAACGCAAAAGTTGCAGAAACTCTTTTCCTTCAAGAAAACTCAATATCGGATCAGTTTCATCACCAGGGGAAAATCGAGTCTGAAAGACGTAAAAAGAAAATTGTTTTAAACAAAACAGTTTTAAAACGTGTGATAGATGCTATTATGTTTCTTGAAAAAGAAGGGCTTTCCTTTAGGGGTCACTGTGAATCACTGACAAATTTCTATGTTAATACAGGAAACTTTTTGGAAACGCTTAAATTATTGTCAGAGTACGATCAACCAATCAATGAGCATCTTGAGAAAGTTTGCGATCACCAAGTGAAGCAATCGACAAAGGATGGTGGTAAAACTGATGAAAAAGGAATCAAAGGACGTGGCTCATGGCTAACGTTTTTGAGCAACGATATTCAAAATAAGTTAATCAATATCACTGGTAAAGAAATATCTTCTGTAATTGTACAAAAAATACGCAACTGCAAAGCATGGGCGTTGATTGCTGATACAACACCCTATATAACTCATACAGAGCAATTGAGTATATGCGTAAGGCTTGTTAATGAAACTGGCGAGTGTTCTGAACACGTTTTGTCATGCCAAAAAGCAATTGGAACAACTGCACATGACCTATACACTGCTATTACAACAAAATTACAATTGCATGGAGTTTCATTTGAAAAACTTGTTGCCCAAAAGTATGACGGAGCATCCCTTATGAGCGGATGTTATAATGGTTTGCAGGCAATTGTAAAAGAGAAAATTGGAAACCATATCATCTATGTTCACTGCTATGGCGCATACGCTAAATCTCGTCTTGTTCGATTCAGCTTGTGTTGCTATTGATGTCATTACTCTTTTTGACTCTCTCGAAAAACTGCACGTTCTCTTTAATAATTCTCATAAAGTACACGAATTGTTTCAATTGGTTCAAAAGAATGAAAACCTCAAATTTTTTTCGATTAAACGTCTTAATACAGTTCGATAGAATGCAAGAGAATTTTGTCCAAACATATTTCTTTCGAGATTCGAGTGCATAATGCGAGTGCTCCAAAAAGTAGCTGAGCAAAGATCGTTCACTGAAAGTCAGCGAGCAACAGCAAATGGATTGCAAGCAGCTTTTCAGACAAAGCAATTTGTTGCGACTGCCTGTCTTTTCCAAGAAATTTTTGGAATTACTGGACCTTTAAGTCGATATCTACAGAGCGTAAATGCTGACTTTGGAAAAGCAATGGATATGGTTGATAGCTCAATTTCTAGAATTCAAATCATATGTGACAAACCAGAAAAAATCATTGAAATGTCCGATTCTTTTGCGTTAGAGGTCGAATGGAGGTCTACACGACCTCGTCGTCAACGACCAATGGACGGACAACAAGCCAGTGATGATTTGGCAGATTCACCAAAAGCACAATGGAGGCGAGACACATTTTATAAAGTGCTAGATTCCATTCAATTTTCAATGAAGAATCGTTTTGAAAAGAATCGACCACTAATGAAATCATTTGCTTAATTCGCACCCAATCAATTTGACGAGCTCTCGAGCAAGTAAAAGACATATCACGATCTTCAATCTGCAGTGAAAGCCTTTTGTGATGTATATAAGATAGATTCCCAAAGATGCGCTACTGAACTGTTAAGCTTTGCAGAAACATTTAAAAAATTTCCCTTTTCTCAGTTTACAACTCAAAGTGACCATGATCATAATGAGTAGAATTTTGAAACTTTTGATGATGGTGATGATGATGATGAAAATCATTCTGATACTGACATAAGTAAGCATTCGAATAATGCGTCAATTACCGAGAAGGCTAAAACTCCGTCATTCTTAGATGCTTTAAAGCTGTTTTGTTTTCCAAAGTACCATTTAGTCGACGCATACCCAACATTACGCAAAGTTTATTCAATTGCAGTGGCCATACCCATTAGCTCAGCAACTGCTGAACGTTCTTTTTCTTCGCTGAAGAGAGTAAAAACGAGGATTCGATATACGATGGTACAGGTACGCCTGGAATCATTGCTTTTAATGAACGTTGAAAGGGAAACTCTCCTTTCTATCGACAAAGATAGAATCATAACTTTACTTGGGAAAACCTCCCCAACGCTTGCAAAGGCATTAATATAAATATATTCACGCCTGGCATTTTTGCATGCCAAAACGGTTAGCACTATTTTTCACCTAGCAAACCGCCCTTTACTTTGAAATATAATATTTTACACAATATAATATTTTATACAATCTAATATTTTACACAATATAATATTTTATATAATATTTTACGCAATCGTCGAAAAACGACATATTTTCCAGCCTGGATTATAAGTTTATAACTTAAGGTGGTTGAATGAAAATTTATACTGCAACATTTATCTGTAAATATTTTCATATGTTGATATTAAAAACTGTATTATAAAAATATAAAATTACTCGCCATCTCAAAACGACCTAGCACCAGTGCATGCATGGTTTCCTTTTAGCTTTTGGTTCCTTCCCATTAGCCGCCATCTTTAATTTAGTTCCGATTGTGTAAAGCAAAGGGCGGTTTGCTGGGCGGAAAATAGTGCTAACCTGCCAAATCGCTAGTTTGTAAGTCATTGTGTCCAGCGGTTTTTGCACAAAATACTTGATTAAAATAATTAATTAATGAAGATGGCGGCTGTTTCAAATGTGCGATTTTCAGCAGAAGAAAAATTACATCAAGAAGACATATACAACAGCGCCGTTCAACAGCCACCTTCCTCCTTAACAAAAGTTGAAGAGGCAATTTTCGCATTAGCAAGGGACATGCAATGCGAAAATGTGGAAATTGTCTCAAAGCGGTGTGTTGGGCAAGTGCAAGCTGCGCTTCGACTTGCAGAGGTCGACTTTGACACACAACAATAGTTCGCTGAGATTGATGGGACTTTCTATCAATCCAGCTAAGCTCTTAAAGGAGGAGTCACGAATTTTGCTAATGGGGATTCGTCGACGACTTGGTGGCAAAAAAAGCATCAGAAACCCATATTATGGGGAAATTACGAGGGTTACTCCGCATGCTTTTTTTGCTACCATGATGCGTACTGTTTGCACTTTGGATAGTTTTGTGGCTCCTTTCTGTTACCAGGTTGAAAACAAGAAGGCTGAGGTGATATCCTTCACCTCCATGCGCCTTTTGAGTTGCTTGTTTTGTTGTCTGGCTTGTCCAAGGAAGATGTTGCTGCTTACCTAAGGCGAAGTTTTAGCGGACGTCGCAAGGGTCAAACAGCAGCAGTTATAGTAACCGAGGTGAAAGACTTTGTTTATTCAATGATGAGCCTTCCAGTTTCTTATTTTGTACATAAAGACAAACAAACATAAAATTTGCCAAACAGCAAAAGAAGCAACTCATTCAAAAATTAAGAAAAAATATGAAAAAATTCAACCTAATTCATGTCTTACCTCTAAAAACAAAGAGATCTACAAATACCTATTAAATTTATTTCAAATAAAAAGTTGAAACCTGACTAACAACTGAGCCATTTATTAGCTCTTGGTAATTGTTGCATTGCTTGCTTTAAAAACAAAAATAGGGCAAACTAGCACATTGCCTGCGAATACTAGACAGTAAACTTTTCAATGAGGACACCACCCTCTGGCTTCTTCAAGTTTTTATTAAAGTTGACAAAGGTTTAAAAAATTAGTTAAACTACACAAATATCAGTCAATGTAAAATTCAGATAAGTATAATATATGCAAATTTGATTATATGCACATGTAAAGCTAGCATGCTCTAACATGTACATATTCTGGTAAGATTAAGTTGCACAGACTATACTTGTCGTAATGTGATAAAAAACTAAATAGTTTTATTACATTGTATATATACAATTACAATATTACAACTTATCCAAACAATATACTTATTTTAATATCTTTGTCTTCATTCAGCTTGTATAGTACCGCTCGCGTATTTGTTAACATAATTTTGCGTATGATACGCGTATCGTTCTCGTATCATACGCGTATCATTCTCGTATCATACGCGTATCTTTCTCGTATCATACGCGTATCATTCTCGTATCATACGCGTATCCTTCTCGTATGATACGCGTATCCTTCTCGTATCATACGCGTATCATTCTCGTATCATAAGCGTATCCTTCTCGTATCATACGCGTGTCGTTTCATTTTATACGCATGTCTTTCTCGTGTCATACCCGTATTACTTTCTTAATATTCTCGTATATGGTTTCAATATAGTTTGGTTTCATCTATGTACACAAATATAAGTATAAAGTTTTCGAAAACTTTGCATATCTACTTAATTATGAATGCAATGCTATGTTGTTTATGTCTTTTCGTTTGATGTTCATATCTATAACGCGGACTCCCGCTATGATGAAGAAAAACTTCAGCATCTAAAGTATTAAGTTTAGGACATGAAAGCAACAACACTATCACAAATCGAGAGACAAGTTTATATCATAGAAGAATTTATTGAAAACTTATTGGTGTGGAAAAAACCCAATTACAAAAATTATAAGTGCATTATACTAAAATAGTTTACTTACAATATTTTTTATTGAAATGTTTGTTTCTAATATAAGAATCAATCGTTTGAATACACCGAGCCCAAATTTTGGTTACTTTAACCTGAGTATCAGGATAATATTTAAATACACACTCTTTTGAGATTCATTCGAAGTTGTGTGTGCTATAAACATAACAAACGACACACTAACAATTGCTTGGTAGCGCAATGATGACATAAAAAAGTGTCAGTATGCACTTAAGATATTTTATTCACGAAATAGTTTAAAGGCACGATATAGCAAAAGAATTTTTAATAGATGATCTTATATATACATGTATATGTAATGCATTAATAAATTTTGAGTTGCTTTTGCAATGAGCTGCGATTGTCTCACGTCGTATCTAAGTATACATATGACTCATCAATGACGTAGCTGAATAGTTTGTGACACACCTTACATAAAAACACGGAAACTCATTGTGATAACTTTCTTGTTAGTTTCATATCATCATCTCCTTTTATTCTCAACATTTGTCTACATTGCATTCTCGATATTTTGGGCGAAGATGCTACGAAAATTAACAAAAACTGCAAAAAATTGCTTGGTATATTTCACAATTGATGATACGTGCGTATCAACGTCTGCAATCTCTGATAGTGTCCGTATTGAATGAATAGTGTTTTCAAGCGACAAAACATTTATTTGCCGTACGATACGCGTATCGCGTATATCGTATTTTACTTCTTTGAGCGCTGAATCTAAATCTCTAAAATTTACAGAGCACCGCGCTCAAACGATTTATTATGACATAGCTTTTTGTCAATTGCCTATAAAGTCTATCAAGTGACAGTTGGCTATTCTGTATTTCTCGAGTAGACGAGGAACTTTGTTGTGAATGTGACCGAGTTTACAACGTAGTTGGATTCGATAGTTGATGTTGCAAGATGCACATCCACATAAGCATGTTATTAATAAACGTGTATTCTATTCGTATGAATCGAATCGTATTTTAATAAAAGGCACGTTTCGTCGTGATATAATAAACGCCTTAAATAAAACATTAAAGTCGATAGGAAAATATTACACAGATTTCTGAAAGTGCATAAAACATTAGCTTTAAATGTTGACCAAAATTTATCCTGAAAAAATAGTGAAATAACATAGAATTCCATACCAGGTATACTACGTACGCAATATCAAAAAAAAACCAACGAAATCGTTAACAATTTGAAAGCAAAATTGCTGCTCATTACGATAAACAAAGTTCTATCAAGTATCACAGCGTTTCATCCTCGTATTATACGTACGCTTATCGTTCACGCATTATACGCGTATCATACGCGTAGCGTATGTTAACAAATACGCGAGCGGTAGGGTACATAAAATTACTTTGCTTTGTAACAAATCACAAAAAAAGCAAATGCCAAATCAAAAAGCAATTGTTAAATAATTGTTTTTTTGTAGAATGATTGCTATAAGCAATTACAGGGAGACAGTTCTCTGAACAATTAGCCCCAAAGAGCAGGAAATTTTCATTGCGGCTCAACATGCCATGTCCAATGTTTAGAAAACTTACCAGCCAAGAGCATGCTGAATCATCTCTTCCAAATCTCTACCAATAGCAACATGAAATGAGTTTGGCTGATTAAAAAAAGTTTAACTTACCAATTTCAAATAAAATTCTGCAAGCTTAACAAGAATATCTGTAAAACCATTGACCTTCTCACACTCATCCAACCCATTGCACAGATGTTCACGAACACTAAATAACTTACCAATATCAATAGATTTAAATAATGTATTGCATTAATCTATCATAGGGAACCAGTCGAGGGGTGGGACATTTAGCAACACTAACACCTTTAGCCCTCTTACTACCACATATCTGCTCATATGAGCTAGCCTTATAAACTCTTCTATACTTTTCTTTGCCCATAACTCCTTTGCTATAATACACAGCAATCGATCGTAGCATATTCTCATCTGATCTTTCGAACTTCTTCAAATCTTCTTTGTAAATTTTTTGAAAAACCTTGCTCTTAAACTTACTGCACTTTTCTAATCCTTTTACTATATCACCAACTTTGCACTTTTTTTCTAATGTCTCCAACATTCCAATGGTACCAGGCTTTGTATCACCCTTACTACCTCCATGAATGGCATTAGCCGCCAACATTGTCTCCATCCTGCGTGTTCGACCAGTGGACTCCACACAACCTTGCCCAGTTGGTTTGTTTCTTCGCCTAACAACTGCCTTCCGGCCTATGCTAAAACCTTTCTCCTCTTGTTCCTCCTGCCTACTTCCACCTTCAATGAACTCTGTCCTGATGCTATCTAACTCTTCTACTTCATTCACCAATTTCTTTACCTGTAAAATTTATGAATACAGTTCCAGCACAAAAATGGAATACATATTCTGATATAAAATACAAGCACAAACAGTTCACACTAAAAATACAATTAAACTGAAATAATACGCCTTGGCGCTAAATATTTCGATTCTTTATAAAACAATCTTTCATTAAAAAATAAGCCTATCATTACAAAATTCGACACATCATGTCAAAATATTGCATATGTTATTGACTTATTGACATAAGTAAAGATCGAGTAAGCAAAGATCATTTCAAATCAAACTACTAAACATTTTTTACCTTATCATCAAGACGTTTAAGCTTCTGAGACACACATTTTGCTTTCTTTTGCTTGCTCATATTTCCTTCCCATGCCAATCTTTTGTTGCGCATGTATTCCCCAACATTGAATCGTTTGTAAAGCTGGATTTCCACTTCCCGGTAAAGACGGAAAACGGTAAACGCCAAACGGTACAGGCATGCGCAGTAGAAAATGTAGCACCGCAAAACGGTATGCACACCGTACTGCTTTCCAATTTTAAAAGTTGAAGTCAAGTCAACTTTTTTCCGAGGAATTCATACCGTTTCACTTTTTAGCCAATCAAGTTATACCCCAAAAATTGACTACCTGTGTGTTTGCATACCTAGCATTACATCTAAAAAACCATATTGTTAGTTTTGTCCTAGTTATGTAAAGTCCATAGCAAAACTTCAGATGATATTGATATTTTGTTCATAAACTCATTTGCAGATGCTTTTATTTTTTTGCTATTAAACCAGATGTGTATAAAAATATTGCGAGTATTGCACACCACATGTTGTGTTATGCTTTCTTTTTAAATTTGTGACTTGGTATGCTTTTGACAACAATTAGTTATTTTACCCATATGTTTTTCAGCAATTGAAGCAGAAAATGAGTTCAAAAGGTTAAGAGAAAATTTCCGAAAGTGTCTGAAAAAGAGAGAATTGAATCACGATCTGGAGCAGAAGCAAAAAAGTTACCCACATGTGCCTTCTTTGTTGAATTGAGTTTCCTTAGAGATAGTGTTTCTAATAGAAAATCAACAAGCAATGTGAATGTACCCAGACTATCAGATAGTCGATCATCGTCACAATTTGATTTAACTCAAGTATCCTCAGGCAGTTCCAATGAAATAGCAATTGCTGCACCTGGAATGAGAAATCCATCACCCAAGCCCAAACCATCCTCAGAAATCATAGCAGTCTCAACGAAAACTTGAAAACGAAAAGAAGATGATGACCTTTGAATGCAGCTCTTACTGCAGCAATAGTCAAAGACATTAATAAATCTGGTGAAGACACAAATGATTCTGATTTACTTTTTTGTAAAAGTCTGGTGGCACCTTTAAAACAACTCTCATCTAAGAAGAACAAGAGAGCTAGAATCAAACTTTTAGAGGTATTAATGAGCTTGATGAATGATTAACTGCATGCTATATAACTGCATTAACTGGAACTATAAATACCATTTTGATGTTTAAGTTCTTATTTTATTTAATTCTAGTGTGTTTTGTTGAAGGTAAATTGGTTTTCAACTGATGCTTGTTGTTTTGTCATTTATAATTACGATTGCTTTTTCTGAAGGCCTTATCACGATTAGAGCATTAAAATTCTGGTTATATGTGGGTATTTTTATACATGTTTATTAGAAAACTAGCATACTTAAAACTTAAAAAATTACAAACTTTCTGCACATTATATATGTTCTACTTTACTCATATGTACATGTTTCATTAATGAATGCTCCAACAATTGTCAAACCCAGTTAAAGATAACTTGTATTATTCATGTGTTGCTGTGACATGCTTGAATTGCCATGGTACTTGCCCTGCCTCAGACATGAAATAATCACAAAAATTTTCTCGTATTCTCTTGGCTATTTTACTGTAATTATTAGAACCAAGTTGTTGAATGTCAGCCAACCCAGCTGTGCTATGAAATGCTTCTACTTCGTTGCGCCAGGCTCCATTTTTAAATCCATAGCTGTTTTCGGTATCTGCAAAACCTGGAGGACAGTACCTACTTGCCTCAAAAGATTTGCCATGCATCAAGTAATTATGCAATGCCACAACTGCTTTTGTTGTACAAACGACCAAGTCAACTTTACCAATAATGGGGCGTCGCCAAATTCGGAAAAGTGCAGCAGCTATGCCAAATGAGTTTTCAATAACCCTCCTAGCTCTAGTAAAACGATAGTTATAAATCCTCTCTTTCAAAGAGAGTACCTCGCGCGGGTAGGGTTTCATCAGTTGCTCAGACAAACGGAATGCCTCGTCCCCAACAAAAACAAGGAAATTTGTTTTCTGATCCAGGTATCTTCTCATTTCTGGGTAGATGCAAAAGATCATGTTCTATTGCATATCCTAGATTACTACTAGAAAAAACGCCTCCATCACTATTTCTGCCCGAGTCTCCGATATCTACGAGGATGAACCGGTATTGTGCATCGCATACTGCAAAAAGAACAATTGAGTGAGTTTCTTTATAATTAAAGAAACTCGACCCTGATCTTGCTGGAGCTTGCATGACTATATGCTTGTCATCAATCGCCCCCAAGCAATGTGGAAAATTCCATTTGCGATTAAAATCTTTCGCAATGTTCTTCCATTCGACTTCACTTTCGGGACACTTAACGTAAATGGGTGAAAGAACATCCCAAATAGCTGACGTGGTCTCTCTTATAACACGGCTGATAGTTGTAGGATGTATACGGAAATTGCTTGACAGCGAAGCGTGAGAGTTTCCAGTGACCAAGTATCTTAGAGTAACTGAGAGCCGCTCACTCGGAGATATTGGTTCTCTTTTTTCACTGCACTTGGCGATTTTAGAAGCATTAAGCTGCAAAAGTTCCTCGAACTGGGATACGGACAACCTGAAGTATTTGAAGTTGTATTCCTTATCAAAAAGACTAATCTCTTCTACAAGAAGGTGAAATTCTCCTTTTTGCTTTCTTTCCTGAAATATTCTTCGAACCCACATTCTCTTTTTGTATTTTTTTCGCAGTTGCATTCTTCTTTTCAATAGCAACAGCATCATTAATGTTTTTGTTCTAAGTTTAGCCATGATGATGCGCATCTGTTTTAAAATGTCCGCCAAAACAAGAGGAAATTAATAAACGGAAAATTTCCTTCATGTGTACCGTTTACCGTTACCGTCTTATCGGGAAATGAAAACTTACTAATTTTGTGAGCATCAACTCAGTATTATCTGCCATCTTGCTACTACCCAGGAGTCAATTTTTGTGGTATAATTTGATTGGCTAAAGGCGGATTTCCACTTATTGAAAACTTTCCTATCTTGGAAAATTCTTTAAGCTGAGCATGCGCTCTAGTCGTGTTTCTCCATCTTCGGTCGGAAATATTTTTCTATGCCAGGAATAAAGAAAGTTGAAAAATTTCAACTTTTTTTTTTCTTTCATTGGAAAATATCTTTACAAACCAATCAAAATCAAGTAGACGTGCGGGCAATGTTTAGCCTGAACTACTGCCTGAACATTGCTGCCCGCGAGTTCAAAACAACATGGACGGATCAAACGAAGTCTACAATTCAAACAACAACGATTTATTGACAATATCGGATAGTCGTTTAGCAGAATTACTTCAAGACCCATCACAATCCAGTGTTAACCTTTGTCCTTTGCCAAGAACTGATTTTATGTCTTCAAGTACAATCAATGTGACGAAATTGGACAGTCGTAGCAAAAACATTTTAACAACACAGTTGATAGAGTTAGTGCGAGACAGACCATGCCTATGGGACGTTTCAGCTAGATCATATAAGGAGAAGCCAAAGAAAGATGAAGCTTGGAGACAAGTTGCTACATAGCTTCGTGTCACAGGTTGATTTAACTTTGTTCATAAATGTTGATATAATTTGCTTTATCATATACGTACTGACGTACATACATTTAATTTATCGTAATACTGCAGTTTTTAAGAAAATGAAAACCTTTCTTTTGAAATATTTGCGTAGATATTGCAATTTTAAAAAGTGAATGGACAGGAATAACAGCAAACTACAAAAAAGCCTTGAAACGCAGGGAAGGAAAATCGGGTGATCCAGGTTGTAAGAAATTGCCAAATTGTGAATTTTTTAATGAATTAAGTTTCCTGCATGAGATTTGTTCAACACATGACACCTATGGCAACATATCCATCGGCAATGAAGGATCTCCAACACAACCATTTGAAAATGTATTTCCCACTACTTCTCCTGCTTTATCTGATGTCTCCTCAAGTTCTTTAATGTCAAACTCGCCCGCCTCGCCAGTTCCTGTTACTCCAGATTAACATGACTTGACTTCGACTTTTAAAATTGGAAAGCAGTACGGTGTGCATACCGTTTTGCGGTGCTACATTTTCTACTGCGCATGCCTGTACCGTTTGGCGTTTACCGTTTTCCGTCCTTACCGGGAAGTGGAAATCCAGCTTAACCAAGCTTAATCCAGCTTAACCAATCATGTGAAAATCGTTCCACCGTTCCCGGAATCGGAAATAGACAAGTACTTTTTGCATTTTGAAAAAGTCGCCGAAAATTGTAAATGGCCCAAAGAAAGTTGGACCATGTTTTTACAAAGCGTTTTGATTGGAAAAGCTAGGGAATTTTTTTCTCAAATGTCTGTAATTGATTCTGCGGATTATGACTTAGTAAAAGATGCGATCCTGAAGGGTTATGAGTTGGTCCCCGAAGCCTACAGACAAAAATTTCGTGCTATTAGCAAAAATATATCTATAACTCACTTAGAATTTGCTGAACAAAAAGCTCAACTTTTCGATCGATGGTTAGCTTCGGAAAAAGTCCAAGATTTTAAAACTTTACGGCAGTTAATTTTAATGGAAGAATTCAAAAACTGTATCCACTCTGAAACACGAGTTTTCCTTAACGAGCAAAATCCTAAGACACTTAGTGAAGCAGCCCGTCTTGCTGATAATTTTTCGCTTACTCATAAATTTGCAGTTAAAACTAACCCACATCCGTTTTCACAAAGAAACACTCAAAACACACTTGATGGAAAACAAACACATTCGTCACGATTTTCATCGCGGTTTCCGAACAATTACGCACAAGGCAGACATAACTTACAAGGCAACGGAAGTCAAACAAAACAAAATTTCCAAAGCATGCAATACCAAGGAAAGCAATATTCATCCTGTAATTCCCCATTTCGACAAGTAATTTGCGATTATTGCAAACGAAAAGGGCACACAAAATCTGAATGTTATTTGTTGAAATCGAACAGACCACCATCAAGACCGACGGGAATTCTTTCAAGATCCGACCAAAATATAAACAACAAAAATAAATCTGTACACAAAACCACTCGTAAAAATGCACAGGAGAATCCGAACAAAGCATTACCGCATGAAACACTACACCATAATATCACAACAACCAAGCACAAAGATTTCAGTGACAGTGATATGGAAACTTTTAAACCTTTTATTCATGATGGTAATGTCACAATCAACTCCAACCGTCAACCAGTTTATGTTCCAATTAAAATACTCCGAGATACAGGAGCTTCACAATCAGTAATATTGGGCAATACTTTGCCATTTTCCGAACAGTCATACTCAGGAAAGAAGTTGTTAATTCGTGGAATAAGTTCCACTGAATACGAATCAATCCCCTTACACAATATTAAATTGCAATCTGATCTTATAAAAGGTGATGTTGTGATAGGTGTTATCAACACCTTGCCCTTTGCTGAAAACATCTATTACTAGGCAACGATTTGGCAGAAGAAAAGATACAAGCAGGTCCCGTTTTAAGCAACAAACCAGTTTTCACACAACAATCCAACCTCACTGAGCAAGTAATCCCTGATTTATATCCTTCATGTGCAATAACAGGAGCTTCAAAAAAACGACAAGACGAAAGTCTTAAAAACACGGAAAATCATGACATGCAAATAGAAAACACGTTTCTTCACGATATTTTCGAAAACCAAAAACCTTTAAAAATTAGCTTCATATCTAAGTCAGATCTTATCGAGAAACAACAAAATGACCCCAACATTTCAACACTTTATCACAAGGCTTCAGAAGGAAGCAGATGTCAAAAGCGATCCCGTTTGTTATTATATTAGGAATGGTGTATTAATGAGGAAATGGCGACCACCAAACACTTCGGTAAACGATGAATGGGCGTATCGATATCAGATAGTTGCACCTCAAGCATATCATCATGATATTCTAAGTCTAGCGTATGAAACCCCCCTTTCAGGACATTTAGGGAAAAATAAGACTTATAATAAGATCATAACACATTTTTATTGCCAGGAATAAGGAAGGATGTTGCAGAGTTTTGTAAAACTTGCCATGTCTGTCAAGTAGTGGGTAAACCAAATCAAACTATTCCAAAAGCACCTCTACAGCCAATTCCAGCATTTGAAGAACCTTTTAGTCGAGTTCTCATTGATTGCGTAGGACCACTACCAAAAACCAAAAAGGGAAACGAATATCTATTAACTATTGTGTGCGCTTTCACTAGATTTCCAGAAGCGATTCCTTTGCGAAATATTCGAGCTAAAACTATTGTACAAGCTTTGACCAAATTTTTTACGCTTGTTGGAGTTCCAAAATCAATTCAGTCAGATCAAGGCTCAAATTTCATGTCTGGCTTATTCCAACAAGTTATGCACGAATTAAATATAACGCAATTCAAATCTAGTGCCTATCATCCGGAAAGTCAAGGAGCGTTAGAACGTTTTCATCAAACATTTAAAAATATAATTCGCATGTATTGTCAGGATAAAGAAAAGGATTGGGATGAAGGTGTTCATTTCCTTCTGTTTGCGGCTCGTGATTCAGTCCAAGAATCGTTAGGTTTCATCCCTTTTGAACTTGTTTTCGGACACACGGTCAGAGGACAACTCAAACTTCTCAAGGAGAAACTCTTAACTGAGGAAAATAATCCAACGAATTTATTAACTTATGTTTCAGATTTCCGAAATAAGTTGACCACTGCATGCGAAATTGCTCGAACAAACCTTGAATCAACTCAAAATTGCATGAAAGGAAAATACGATAAAAATTCAGTTACGCGGAATTTCAAGGTTGGCGACAAAGTACTTGCGTTACTGAAAATACCAGGAACACCTCTTCAGGCTAGATATTATGGTCCGTATGTTATTGAGAAGAAAGTGAGTGATTTGAATTATGTCATCATAACTCCAGATAGGCGTAAGAAAAATCAACTATGCCATGTAAATATGTTAAAGCCTTATTTCGATAGAAAAAGAGAAAGGAAAGAGAATGTAGGAAGTGTAGTAAGTAAAGTATCTGAGGAAGAACTTTCATCTTTAACTGACACTGCAAGTAAGCTGAGCAACTCTGAAATCTTGAAGAATATTCTTTCCAAACTCACTCATCTTAATCCAACTCAGAAAGCTGATATAGAAAATCTCCTCAACCAACATCTCGAGTTATTTCCTGATGTGCCTTCCCGAAGTCACCTTATTGTACATGATGGGGATGTAGGCGATGCATCACCTAAAAAACAGCACACATACCGTCTTAATCATACAAAAGAAAAATACCTCAATAAAGAAATCGACTATGTACTCGAGCACGATTTAATTGAACCCAGTCACAGCAGTTGGTGTTCACCATGTATTTTGGTTCCCAAACCTGATGGCACTTATAGAATGTGCACGGATTATAGAAAAGTAAACACTGTTACTAAAACCGATACCTTTCCCATTCCACATATGGATGATTGTGTTGACAAAATTGGTAATGCAAAGTTTGTTTCCAAATTAGATCTTCTAAAATGATTTTGGCAGATACCATTGAGCGACAGAGCAAAAGAAATATCTGCATTCGTTACACCCAAGGGACTTTTTCAGTATAAAGTCATGCCATTTGGTATAAAAAACTCTCCAGCGACATTCCAACGTTTGATTAATCACATCATAATGGACATCAAAGGATGTGAAGCGTATATTGATGATGTAATTATCTATAGTGATACATGGGAAGAACATCTGAAAATAATGCGGCAGTTTTTTCGAAGGTTATGTGAGGCTCGTCTCACCATCAATCTTGCGAAAAGCGAATTTGGATGTGGTCATGTGACATATCTTGGACATGTAGTCGGACAAGGTCAAGTAAAACCAGTCAATGCTAAGGTCGAAGCGATCTCCAAATTTCCTCAGCCTACTTCAAAGAAACACTTAATGCGTTTTCTCGGTATGGCTGGATATTATCAAAAATTTTGCCCAAACTTTTCAACAATAACCGAACCGTTGACCAATTTGCTACGGAAAAATGCCAATTTTACTTGGATAACCTCATGCCAGAACGCTTTTGACCAGCTAAAAGCCCTATTACAACATTCCCATGTTTTGTCCGCTCCGGATTTTCAACGCCCCTTCAAACTTGCTGTCGATGCAAGTGATGTTGCAGCAGGAGCAGTTTTGTTACAAGAAGACAAGGATGGTGTCGATCACCCGTTTTTAGCGATCACAACCCTCTCGTTTTCATCAGTAAAATGAAGAACAAGAATCAACGTTTGCTCCGTTGGAGTCTATTATTATCCGAATTCAACCTTGTTATCAAACACATTAAAGGTAGAGACAACCTCATCGCTGACTGTTTCGCACGACCTTAGAACATTATTATCTTAAGGAAAGCTTTTCAATCTTTCTTTTTTTTAAGGGAAGGGTGTTACATGATAATACATATTCATGTAAATTATACTTATTATTGTTATACACTTAAATATATTATTAGTTAACGAGTTAGTGCTCTTTGTAAAATGCCTTACTCATACATGCATGTGTATGATAACCACAATAACAGGAATAGCTTACGTATAGGACGTGGTCAACCTACTGACCACAGACAACGTACAGGACATGGGTAATCAACTGACCACAGCTTACGCAAACGCGGTTAATCGTACGTCATTGTGCAATCACGTATAAGCCGAGAATCGAAAGTTGTAGTTATGTTGGTGCTTAGTAGAAGTCCACATCAGAAGAAAACTCATGTAAAAGAAAACGAACTATTTACGAAAACAACCAAAGAATCCAGATATATATCCTATCCATCAACGAAAGAGTCACTGAAAGTCTGAAAGCAGTTGTCTTAGATAAGTTTGAACATTTAAACATTTATATTATAACGATTATATCAAAATTATTAGTATATTAAATAAATATTTTAAGAATTGACAGCAACTTCTCCACAAGGTTTTGCTCCTTTTGTTACGCGCAATTGAACCAAAAGCGGCCATTTTATTATTAGTCGGGACGTTCGTAACAAATGTTATAAAAAAACGAAAAAATCAACAAAGTTTTGGTTGAAACAATGGAAAATTAAGGCTATAGTAAGGTGTACGAAATATGAAAATATACTTGTTAAGTGTCTACAGAAATAAGCCAATAACTCACTGGATTTTCTGAATTTTGGCGATCAATAATTGGCGTTATCCCTAAAGATAAAAAAATTGGCCTTTCTTAATAATGAGAACTAATTGCCTATGTCAAAATCATTCAAAGAGCCTAGAAAGCTACATGAACAAAGAAGCGGACAAATTCGTTGTTTTACGCATTTATCATCAATCAATCATATACATTTCAACCATTTTTTTGTCGATTTGGATAATTTAAATTTTAAACCTTTTTTGTGCTTATCAACACCTGTATGCTTTATTTAACCAACGGTAATGGCAAATCGACAATGGCATTATAAGACGTTCATTATTCCTCATTGTCTTTGTTCAACAATAACTACAATATCTAAACAAATAAAATTTCACCTTACTTTGATCACGTTACAATATAGAAGCGCTTGTTCCAAAACACCGTTTCTTGCTAAAGTTGTGCTAAGAATAACAAATGAAACGGGCCAACCGTCAACCATTGATAGCGAAATCGTGTTACACGTGAATAAACATGTTGAATTATTCCTTGCCCAAGTTCTGTGTTTATTCAAATAAAATGAAAACAGCATGTACTTACGATGAAAACGTTGATCAGCTCGTTCTTGAATGTGTTGTATCAAATATATATTCTTTCTTGGGTTAAAAATTTTAGTAACTTAAGATCGACTTGCCACTTGTAATGAAGTATACAGAAGACATGTGCAAAATAGTATTCTGAGCCCGCAAATTTCCTTAACGTCTACAGCGATTTATGGTTCTTTTATTGCAAACGACTTTGAAGATGACTACCGCTAAAGTTGTCAAAACGTCAGTCAACAACAACAACAACAAAAACAGTCCTTCTCAGGACTATACCATCCTGGACTATCTACATTCACAAACATATAATAAATGTCCAAGGTATGCAAGCCAGTATGTCACTAAATCACACTAGATCTATCTCCAATCATCTTGAAAATGTATTGTTCTGTTCAGTTTTGCTAGTGCATTCTCTTAGCTTTACGCTTCTACTATCAACTGTTCTGCTGTTGAGCAACAGCACAACGTTTATAGCGCTGTAGTGTATCTTTGTGTTACACGCTAAGCAAACTTTTTCCTTTTTTCTAACTTTATGAAATAAGAGAGTAGCATCAAATGGAAAATTGTTCGCAGTTGTATTCGTATTGATGATCTCGACCTATACATTAACGGATTTGCATGTGTTTGATTGCGACAATTCATGAAAACTGTCCTTTATTACAATTATCTTCTGCCGTTATTTTTACAATAATGTGAATTATGTTCAGGTGTATTGAAAAGCTTACCTTTTATTTGTAGTTTCCTTTCGGTTTTGTGAACAACTGCCCTTAAGTGTTTGGTATCATGTGACTGACTAACGTTACGTGTGGCATGTGAGTCTCTTTTTATTCGTTGATTCCGCTTTACCATTGGTCGCTTTTTTTCATGCCAGGTTGGTATGGTTACAGTCTAGGAACAATCTGTGCGTCTATCCGTGCACAAAATGCACAATTCGAATTAGTAATAATGACAGGTGCGACCTTAGAAACAACAATAGCAATTCCAAACTTGAAACCCCCCATACAATTTACATGAAAAACAGTTTTAGCTACTCAGCTGCATAACTTTAGAATGGTTTACAGACTACACAGTAAATGTAGCTGTACAAGACGCTGTACCAAAAAAGTGTCGTTTCCCTGTTCATAATGGTGACTGTACTTTATGTCAAAAGATTTCCAACCTTCTTAATTCCGCCATTTAGATAAGATAACGGTAAAGTTAATTTATAATTGCATATGTAACTTTAAACATTAAAATTTGAAATAAATAACCTCTACAGAGAGGGTTAATTAGGTACGTAAATGACTTTACTAATTGACAGCACATTTTCACCATAGTGACGTTAATTTGAAGAAAAGCATTACACTAAAGAACTTTAAATGAAACCGATGAATCAATTTGCCAAATTTATAACATTGTTTAATTTGAAAGGATAGTTCGATACATGTGCAAGTGTGCCATATTGTAATTTCACGTGATACATTTGGACTTTTAAACCCTACAATATATATATATATATATATATGTTTGAAAATTTGTAATCCAGGCATTGAATACATAAAACATAACAGTTTCTCCGGATTTTAAATGATTTTTTATTGAGCTTTCGACTCGTTGCTTCGAGCTTTCATCAGAATGAGGATATTTATTTACACGTGCTTTAAGCTTGGAGACGTTTAGAGCGTCTAATTGGATTAGTGGGTGAATTAATGTGATTGGATGGGGTAAATATATGTAAACAAATGACGGGCAACTTGATAAATACATGTTGATAAAGTGACTTATACGAAAGTGAACTGTGCGAGAAAGTGGAAAAAGTTTCTTTGAAAATTTCTAATCATAATATTTTTGCAGCTTGAAGAAGCCTTAGAAAATGGCTTAAAAGCTTTCAAGCCATAGTTGTATTGCAAAAATGTATTTTCACGAGAGATTTTATAGATTCTCGTCACTTTTTACGTTCATATTGAGCAATACGGTTAGCCACTGAACATCGTTCTGGTACCTCTATATTAGGATTCTTGGAACTCCCTTCTGGGTTCGACCTATTGGGGTCTACTGAGCGTTTTGGCGACTTCGATTTCGAATTGTCAACCGTTTTTGTACCTTTTCTTGCTGTAAGGTTTATTTTCAACCTAACCATGTTCCCAGGAAAATTTTTCGCTGAAAAAAAGCCAAGTATCCTGCCAGGAAAAAATTTTTTATTCTTTTTCACAATCGACTTACTCTGAGAATTTATGTGCGATACAAACGATTCCTCTAGGGCAAAGCTTTTTTTCAAATGAAGTACACGCTCTTTTGTAACCAAAGCCACCTCACCGTTAGCGTGTTGAACAAGACGAAACTTATCGTCAAACATTCCTGGATCGTATTCTGTTTTCATCAGCACGAGCGACAACTGATGTTTCTTAGTTGCAGGAGAGAAAATCTCAACCACTAACTTTGAATCAGATTTTTTGAAGTAGTAACCTGTTATGGTGTCGAAGTCGGGTGTATAAATTACTTCATCATACGCGCTGATTTCTTTCAGAGTTGGATCGAACTTCATGACTTTTATTAGATCACCTTCCATGCTGTAGGTGAGGAGTTTATGAAATTATGAAAACGCTCCTCTCGATTGCTATTTTGTTATCAGAAGAAACAGAAAGTTTTCATCTCACCAAAGATTAGAGAAGGTTTACCTTTTTCCTTCAACTTCTTCAGAAAGAGTTCACCATCTTTGTAACATCCACGCACGGTGATATTCCTCTGGTCACCTTCAACAAATGCAACAACAATTCTTTCATCTTGTGTTACAGACATGAGCAGATTTCGTCCGTCTTTGTTGCCGGAACTTTAATTAGACTGTTATTGTGCCATCTTGTTGAAAATTGATAAGTCTTTACTTTCACAACCAGAAAAACATATACGCCATTGTTACCAACTGTCATACATTTAACTTCCGAATCATCAATCTCACAACTTTCTTTACACCACGGTTGAAGCTTTCCTGTTTCACTGTCGACTTTTTGGAGGTTTTTTCCAGAAATAATCAGCATTTCTCCTTCGTTGGTTAATGTGATTTGTTTGTAGACAAATAGGTCACTTTCATCCATGCAAAAATGATATTCGTGCCAAGGTGTTGAGGAACTCGCGATTCCTTCAACTTCTTTAAAATACAAAGGATGAAACATTTTCTCACCACATTTAATCAATGGCCAATCAAGAACTGCGTAACTTTTGGATGGGTTGTTGGACATGAAATTCGCCAACAATAAATTGATTATTATTACATTGTCAACGTTTATAGCCCTCTCGTCTTTGAAAAGTGCTGGTTTCATTTTTGAAAACATCTTTCCAATTTCGGGCAATGAATGTAATATTTTTAGGTATACCATTGAATCCTTTTCTGCTGCCTCGCTATCATTATAATGTCGTAGGATAGAACTTGCGATGCAAACCAAGCACGCTATTATTCTTTCTTCAATTTTTAATGATTCGTTGTGAAATGCATTGCTTGCTTCTTTGTCTGCCTCTATAAAAGACTCTTGAGCCAACTTCTGTCGCTCTTCTATTTTTTCCAATTCTTCTTTTTTAGACTCCGCGAGGTTCAGTCTTTCAATGCCTTTTTCGAAATGACAGAGGCTACTTTGTACATCCTTTTTACACATTCCTTTTAGTGCGTCTAAGTTGCTTTCAATTACACCTAATAGTTCCAGTAGTGATTTCCCACTTTTTGCAACTACCGCCAACAGACTAATACCTACCGTTACAGGATCCATTGAGTTTTCTTCTGTTTTTGCTTCGTTTATTAATCTAAAAAAGGTTTCGTAGAATACAGGAATTATAATATAGGAAAGGTTATTGTTGATCAAAGAACTTCTACTAGTTTTAAAACCATCCCGAATTTTTATTCCCTCTATGCAGTTCCTTTAGCTAAATCATTAATTTCTGTCGTGATTGAATTCATCCATTGTTTTCTCTCTCTCATTCAGCTGCCGAACTCAAACATATTTGCATGGCAGTAGCTAAAATTAAGCGGGCTTTGTCTCGGGCGTCTCGTTGTAACTGTGATGCACAACGCGTACTTTTTGTATAAATGTATGTTATGGCGTCAAGTAATTTGCACAACTAAGGTCATTTGTGATGTTTCATGAAACGACTGCAATGATTTGTTCATTAGTAGTCTTTATTTTATGTAAATAATTGACAAATGCTTAAATTTTTCTAAATTTTTTCATGATGAAAGGATAACAATAATAATAAGGTCCAGTTGAATTGTTAAAGCTCGGTTAAAGCTCTGGCAATAAATTGCAGAGTTGTGCCTATTGTCGAATATATGGTAAATATGTAGAACGTAAAGAAAGAAGACACGGAAGAGCTTGATAGGAATGCTCAAATGCACTTAGGGAGCAAGGAAAAAACAAAAGATTATATACGGAAAAAAGTGCCGGTTGAAAAATTGAGATCATACAACAGTACTGGCAGTAAGTAGTATTGCAATAACTAACAATAAGTAGATTAAAGTGCCAGGGGGCGGATTTAAGGGTCATCAAATCCATCACGCGACGAACGTATGAAATGGTGATTAATTATTCATGCAACATACTAAAATTAATAAATAATTAAGTCAACTATCACATATCGTAAGCCAAACGAAAGCATAACGATCAGAATTAATTAATGGCCTGAGTGTACAGCCGTTTTTTTAAGGAAAGCTATGTAATTAGCCTCAAATATGATCTCAAGCCCACAGATCCATCAAAAAGTCAAATCTTAGTGTTCTCATTGGTCAATTCGCCTATTGCCATGGAAACTTGCGGTTTTGATGTATCTGTGGGGAGACCTGGGGCCGGTTGTATAAAGGTCTTAACTACTTTTTAACTACACTTTTTGCAGTTAAAAAGTAGTTAAATTTAACCACGCGGTTAAGTGAGTTGTATAAAAAAGTATTTAGCGCTAAATGCAGTTAAAAGGTAGTTAAAGTTAACTATGCTATGGAGCATAGTTAACTTTTCAAAACACAGTTAAATATGGCGGCTTAGCTTCTCAAAGACAATTATGGGCGAGATGTTGTTGATCAACAAGGTTTTACCTTGAGTTTTTAATCACATGTATCTTCCATGGCAAAGGCTTTTAGAATAAGAGCTTTATGGACAATGTACTACATTCGTCAGTGCTGTAAAATATCCCAAGTTTTGCTGACGAAAAACAGCCAACAATTTCTCCACGTAACAAATCCTTTTTTACACAAGAGCAATTGCATTTTGTATTATCTTTCCTTGCGTCCGTTAGCTCTTTGCAACTCATAAGCGAGACTCTCAATTGAGATAGAGCCACTTCTTTAAGATTAGTGCACATAACTCGTTGACATTGTCTTACAAATACGTACAATTCGTTGAATGACAAAAAAAAAACAAAGAATGTTATTCGAGCAATGAATCCTATAGCCTTGGATGTATCAAATATTCAAATTGCGGGGTTTTCCCTATGCATTTTGCTTAATTGAATATCATATGCATCATATAAACATATTGCTCTATGGAAAATAAGCTAGATTATGTTAAAACAAATAGGTACTACAGTATAAATGTTGTTCTAAGTATACCAATGATAATACATATAGATACATGACCTTTACAACAGGGGCGGATCTAGGATTTTTCAAACATCAGTCATAAAACGTCGAAGGCGCTCCCCACCTGGGGGGGTCTGAGGCATTCTCCCTGAGAAATTTTGAATTTAAGAGCCTTGAAAATGCCATTTTCAGCGTTTTAGAGCAATACAAAATGTAATTGTGGGCATCGTTTTTGCGTAAAAACAACACATTTTGCTTACGTTTTTTTCAAAAAAAAAAAAATGAAGTGAACAATACTTGAATGTTTTGCCAAATATTTAGGCTCATTATCATGCCTAATATATGGCTCATTAGCATGTCTAGGAACGTAAAATTTATTTTACAATAATGCTATTCAAAAACAGATATAGTCTTTAAAATTTTCTACCAAGTTGTCAGGCATAGACCTAGAGACCCCATTCAAACCTCTATGTAATGAGTTTAGTTGTTAGAAATTTGGTACTACAAGTGACAGTTCATAGATATAGAAAAGCTCAGACTTCAAACCATGCAAGTTTATTGTAACCCTTTACCCATCTCCACATCAGTATTAGCAAATTCACCTTTGAGAAAAACTCAAAATTTTTTCTGCCAAAGATTAAGCAAAAATTATCAGAGTGGAAAATTTGCAGTTAAGGACAACTTAATGCCATAAATGTTTATTAGGCATTTCACTTGACTATTATCTTCTTCAAGGTGTGCTATATAGCAATCACTAGTAGCATTGTATTATCAAATACAAACAGAATGTAACCAACATGTCTTTAATTATATAATTACATGAATGTTAAAATTGGTTCATGTGTCATGCTTACTGGTTATGATAAATATCTTTTCATATGATCAAAGCTCGTTTAAATGTAAATCTGAAATAATTTAGTTTAGAAATTATAATGATCATCAGAAAAATTACCTAGTGATCATGAAAATACTTTGCTGTTTTGCCAAATTTCAAGGTTTATCTGCATACATAGGAAGACATTTTTACTTTATAGAAAATGCTTTTCATCAATAGCCCTTTGGAATTTATGGCAAACAATCTGGTATGAGCCGTAGATTAACACAACTTTACATCTCTACATGAGGTGTTCAGTTAGAAAAGGGGACAATATGTGACATGGGACAACATTTCATGTATCTGAAATACTAAGGTTTAATACCATTCCAGTCAAATTGTCAAAATAAAAGCTTCATGGATCAGAAGACTCAAAATCACAGGTTATAGTAAACAGCTTCTCATGTAATCAATGTTAGTTTTCTCAAATCTTAAACAATATGTAGTATAACTGTCAATGATTGAATGATCAATGATCATAAACTGAAAAGTCCCAAACATTTGTTTATGATAAAGTAATAACAGTATGGCGCCTTATGGCTACAGATTTTTTGGCCATTGAAATATATTTGCAGGAATGTAGGATTTCGCTGCCATATACGGTCAAGATGCCCTAAGCACTAAAGAAATCATAGCTAAAAGTCCTTCGGCAACAACAATTTTAGAAGCATCCATCTGCTTACCATACGCCATATTAACATAAATCGCATCACACACTCGTAAATTGACTTTGATATATTACATTCATGCATACACTTCAGTTGTCCTTTACTTACGATTTTGGATGTAAATTTCTGCTGATAAAACTCAAAACAATGTTGGCTTGCTTTTGAACATCAATGACTGAAATGTCGCTCGCGAGATCGTCTTTGCCAAGCATTTACAATTCATCCATAAATTTTTCGCCCTCTGAAAAATTCCCAGTTTGGAAAGCAGCATTCATGTCAACATATGAATTTGTAAAAGATTTCCATAAATTCCATCTGATTGTAGTTTAGTTTCTATCATGCTTTAGAAAATTATTATGAAACGATCAAACATTCAATTCAGACAGTGAGCTTGACTATGTTAGTTCAGTTGGCTATCAGTCGAAATAGGTCAAACCAATCACAGTAAGACAAAAATTTAAACGAACCAATTACACGATAGCAAGTGGACTCCCTTATAGGTCCGGCCACCCTATTATCGGTCGAGATTATTCCAGACTGTCCACTGATCTGGCCATTGACCAATAAAATAGCGTTTCTGGCGTTCATAGACTTTATATGTCGAACCAGTCAAGCCACCCGCTTATCAGTCGGTTATTCCAGGTCAATTAAAATTCAACTGATCTGGTTACCAACGAGATATTCATTGGATTAGTCATTAGTTTTCAATAATAAATAAAGCTGGATTTTATCACGAAGTAAATGCGATAATAAAGTAAGAATAATTAATGAATTTTAACTAATATGAATAGGTAATTTTGAGTTTCAAACATCAGTCGCGCGACGGATTTGACATACTCTAGATCCGCCCCTGGTGAAATAGCAGAGAAAAGACAGTTGCTGGATTACATGGCTACTAACTATGATGACTCAAAGAAATGTTTTCTAATAATATTTCTTCGCTGTGAATTAAGTTCAATACAATGCACAAATAGACTTTATAAGCTATTCCGACAAAAACACTTTTGAGAATAGATTTTAAATTAAGTTAAGAGGAAATATTCTATGTACCTGGGGACACTCAAAATCTATAATAAACAAAATGGCATGAGTTTAACAGGATAGAAATGACAATGAAGACGAAATGTGAATACAATATTTATTCTATATGCTTATGTTACATTTTAATGACAGAGGAAAGATATGTCATAACAGTCGTGACATTACATTGTAACTATGATGACTTTTAAGAAATGTTTGCTAACAAGTCTATCAATAAAAAGTCTATGACTGTCTTCTTTTGCTCATACAGTCATACCTGTGACTAAATGTCTCGTCACAACAATGATTAATTTTTTGTTAACAACATTTCTTTTCAATGATTAGCAAAACAATTTTTCTTTTATACACTATTACTGATAGTATCAATGGCTGTTTAAAGCTATTCAAATACTACCAGATATATACATATATTTCCTATGTGTAAAATGTTTATTTTTAATGTACATACAATCTTGGCTGCCAATATTTTTCTAAGAGGCAGAAAGCTCTAGCTATTGTTTGATGATTTAAAAAGTAGGAAAAAATAAGAACAAATCAGTATTTGTGTATAGCATGTGAACATAACATGTCACAAGCAGAGAAAAGACAGTTGCTGGATTACATGGCTACTAACTATATTGACTCAAAGAAATGTTTTAATAATAAAAAGTCCATCACTGTCATCTCTACAAATATGTGACTTATGTCTGTACGAACACATTTCTTTCAAGCATTTTACTCAGCTGTTATAAAGAGAAACGAAACGACCTTTTCCTTTGTTACCCTCAATCTCTTAGTTTTAAATTCTGTAAAAGCAAAGCCATTTTAATATTTATATCCTACATAGAACACAATATGAATCAATTTGAGAAGAGTTCATTGTTTCGTTTGCCAAAGTCCATTATATAATTGGTACATGAAATAAGCAGTCCTTGCCGAGACTCATATCATTCGTCAACATCGTACTGTATTAAACAGAAGATACGGGTCGATTTTCTTGAGAAAGTATAAAATATATGCTGCAATTTAATCCGTTACCATGTCACCGTGAATCGTTTGTTAAATTTTCGCATCATCAACATCCGTAAAAACGACAATAGTTTGCCATAATTTAAGATTTTTAGATAAGCCAAGAGATTTTTCTTGATTTTGAAGTCATTTTCTAGTTAACTTGCCCGCCATTACAAAGCATAAATTGATTAAACTTTATGTCTTTTAACGTAAACAACACTCACGCAATTTCCACGCAGTTAACCATGTTACTTAATATCCCACTAACTACGTTTTGTGCAACGCAGTTAAGTCGAGCAGTTAAGTTACTACAATTGAGTTAACTACGGTAGTTAGCGTTAACTGTAGTTAAAGTTAACTACGTTTTATACAACCGGCCCCTGATGGATTGACGACATTCAGTTCTAACAATCATATTTTACTATCGACTAGTATTTTTACTTTGTTATTTTAGGCTATTTGATACTTTGACTGATTCACAGCGGGGGTCATTTATTTTTGTTGTCTTATCTTTCGCTACATCGCAAAATTGCAATCACGCTTTGTTTAAAAGTTTCAGTTGTATCTGATATGGATTACGGTGTTGTCAAGCTGCCTTTGCGGCAGATGATTGTAAAATTTTGGCAGGTTTTATGTTGATCTTGCCAGGTAACTAAATGAGCAAGATGAGATATCGCTTGAGCAACTATTGGGTGCCATAGTAGCTCGTCAAACAGCATTAGCAGAAATTATTGCGCGGAAACTTATATTCCTTTGGCTGTTCGAAATCAAAAGGAAAAATCGTGCATAGCTTTGAGGTAAACTATATATTTTGTACAATTTTTCATATTCACTCAACAATATGTAAGAATAAAGTAAATGGTTTGAACCTGAGTGTCGTTATATGTTTAAATGATGATCGTCCAGAGAATGAAGTCTGAGAAGGACTGTTTTGATGTTGTTGACCGACGTTTCGACAACCCAGGTAGTCATCTTCAGAGTCAAAAAAAACATTTTTTTTTTGACTCTGAAGATGACTACCGCTAAGGTTGTCGAAACGTCGGTCAACAACATCAAAAACAGTCCTTCTCAGGACTTCATTAACCTGGACGATCATCATTTACAAACAAATATGTAAGAATGTAAATATGCATACAAACGGTATTGATGACTTGCCTTGTTTACGTTCGCACGGTTTGCTGGCAGGCAGATAAATCTCAAGGGAAGTTAAGCATTTTTGCTAAATTGTGCTGTGTTTCCAAAACGAAAGCACTATACAAAGTCTGCTTGCTATAAGTTGCAAGCAAAACGTCTGGTTGTATATTACAGGTCACTTGTGTTGTGTAAATCTCATCAACCTTTCAACTTTCTGTTTTTTGTGGTTTTAGACTCGTATTTTAAAAACTTTATGAATGTACAGTGAGATAAACTTTTCAAATTTTCAGTTCAACCTGCTTGTTGATTATTCCTTGATTCTTTATAATTCTACTATTAACTATCCTATTTGATTTACTTATATTCATTCCCTGCTTATAGTTGTCAGCACTATTACACATTTCATATAGAGAATGTAGATTTTGTCAATATAAAAACATAAAGTAAATATCATATTTACTCGAGATTTTATTGTCAGTTAGCTATTTTATTACTCAATAAAACTAAATAAGATTATAACATGATTATATAATACATTTATCAAATAATGTCATATATAGAACATTTTGGAACCAAACCCAAAAATTCTTTCATCATGAGCTTCATGTATTTTCAGAAGCTTCAGGGAATTGCTTGTACAGTTCCGTGTCTTTGACTCTGCTTGGTGATGATAGATTGGTTCCAACTTTAAGAATCTTAACCTCACTTGAGCTTTTCCTGAATGCTCATTTTTACTGTGAGCATCCCTGCTTTTTGTCTGCCATTGAAGAGCATCCTGATTTTTAAGGAAGTATAAAAATCTTTTACCTTTATCTGTCTCTGTTGAGTCCTTAGATACCGGTGCTAGTAAGGAAAATTTAGTGAAGAAAGAGGTTGTTTTAATTGCAATGATGGTAAATGGTCATCATTTCTTTGTATTTTGGGTCTGTCTTCTGTTTTGAAAAGATGTATTGTTACATATTATCCGGATTGTGGACAACACAGGCTCAAACTTTTATTTAATTGTGTTATTCAACCCGCTTGCATACTACTAGGGTTGAAAAGAAGTTCATATTCTATTCTGCCATGAAGGTGACATAAGAACTGGAGAATCATTTCAGCCTAACCATTTTGTCCCTCTTCTTTTTCATGCAAGTGCACACAAGCGAAAGTCTGCTGACATTACACAAGCCACAACGTCAGCAAAAAAACGTAAGGTGCCTTCCTTATTTTCTAAGAAGGTGGCAAAATTTTCTTCTGGTAATATTCCAATTATTTCTAACTTTTTTACTGCATCAGAAAAACAGCCATCCAAGTTATTTGAAAAAAAGCCCAATGAAACTTTTTCTTCTGCCAAACAAGTTCCTTCTTATATCTCGTTGAAACAACCAATTAAGTCCTCCGCTAGTCAATCTTGTCCAGAAAAGAAGTATCATTCTGTGCATAATTTTGATGTTGCAACTTACCAGGATAAAGTTAAAGGCTTGGATACTTCTGGTGTTCTTCAGTTGATTAAAAATATTTTCAGGCCTGATGAGAATTTTTCCTTTCCTAAGACTGGTGGTAGGAGCTTTAGATATGACTGGCTATGCTACTCCCCATCAAAAGATGGTGCATTTTGTTTGTCATGCGTGCTTTTGGTCATCGCTTCCTGGTAAAGCTTCTAAGATTACAAATTTGTTTTCTAAACCGGTTTCACGCTGGAATGATGCTGCATTTACTTTTAAACGCCATGATGAAGGAGAAGTGGGGCTGCATGCCCAAACAAATCCAATTTTATTTACCTTACATGCTAAAATGTCAGGGTCTGCGCAACCAATAGAGCTGAACAAATGTAAGCTGTCTTCTATTGCTGATTGCATTCTTTTTTGTGGTCGTTTAGGTTTGCGTGGCCACCGTGATGATGCTAAATATCATCCAGAGGTTGGTCAGTATTCTACCGGGGGTGTTGGAAATTTTGTGGAGACACTAAATTTTAAAGTTCGTTCAGGGGATGGTGTTTTAAGGGATCACTTAACATCTTGTGGGAAAAATAGAAGTTACATCTCTAAGACCAGCCAGAATAAAATGATCAAGTGCTTTGGAGAGGTTATTACTGAACAGATTGTCAACGACATTAAGGTTAATAGGTTCTTTTCTATTATAGCTGATGAGGCTGCAGATTCTTCCCATAGAGAGCAAATGGCTCTAATTTTACGTTTTATTGATAAGAATATGGACATAAGAGAGGAGTTCATTGCCTTTCTTCAATGTAAGTGGGAATTGAGTGGAGAGAACCTTGCTAAATTAATTCTAGATAAACTTAAAGACCTTGGCTTGCCAATTGAAGACTATCGCCGACAAGGTTATGATGGTGCGGGTGCTGTTGCAGGTTGTGTTAAAGGTTTGGCTGCCCAAATTTTGAAGCTCAACTCGAAAGCATTATATACCCACTGTTATAGTCATAGGCTTAATTTGTCAGTTTGTGATTCTTTGTCAGATATTGAGGTTAAGAAAGTACTTAACAAAATAAAAGATGTGACAAATTTTATCAATATTTCTCAAACACGCAATATACCGTTTGAGGAGACTGTACGCAATAGTTTAGAAACGGACTCAAAAAAGACTAGATTGCCAGATGTTTGTAGAACCAGATGGGTAGAACGAGTTAAAGGTTTAGACACTTTCGAAGAATTGTTTGTTCAAATTTTTGACACACTGGATAACATGGCAAAAGGTGGCAGTCCCTCTCTCGCTGCTGATGCATCCTCTTTGCTTGAAGGTCTTTCTGAGTTTCATTTTATCGCCCTCTTGGTTATTACCAGAAATGTTTTTGATCTAACGCTTCCTGTTACTCAGCTTTTGCAAGGAAAGAGTATTGATGTTATGGACGGGATTGAGTTGATCTCTTCTTTGAAAAGCAGTGTTGCACATGTGAGGAATTCTATTGATTCATATCATGATCAATGGTACGACATTGCGACATTACATTCATAGAAGAATGTAAACGTAGGACAATTGGAAGGCAAACTACAAGGCCTAACGCTCCTTATCGTTCTATCTCGGAGTATTACAAACGAATCTATACGATTCCTTTAATTGACCATCTTCTCTCGTCTTTGGATGCGCGATTTGACACGGAAAGTGTAAATGTTTATCAAGGACTAAGTATTGTTCCAACAAAAATGTTTTCTCTTATAAAAAATGGGATTGACTGGAGACATAAATTTAAGATTGTTTCAAAATTTTATGTTGCTGATTTACCCAATCAGTTAGGTTTAGATGCAGAGTTGTTATTATGGCAATCCTTCTTGGAACATCGTAAAGGTCCTTATCCATGTAATGTAGGTACAACTTTAAAAGCTATAAATTTTGATGGTTTTCAAAACATAAAGGTCATACTTCAAATATTAGGAATCCTTCCCATAACTTCATGCGAATGTGAACGTTCGATTTCAGCGCTGCGAATTCTTAAAGATTATAAGCGGAGTACTATGGTTGAGCAACGGTTAAATGGTCTTGCTCTAATGAAAATTCATCAGGAAATTCTTCCAGATGTGCAACGCGTAATTGATAAATTTTCTGTTGGCAACACTAGATTTAAATTTAATTGAAATCATGAGAATTTTTTAAATTTTGTCTTTCTACATCTAAATTCTTTTTTAGTTTATAGATAAAATTGTTGATGTACCTATGTATAAAGGACATGCATTTAATTCTATGCAATAACCAGATTGCTGGCTTCGGCTCTTTAAAGGGCTGTCCATGTCGGATGATGCTTTGAAATTTGGGGCATCATCCTAGGCATGCTGAAGAGCCCTGATATTGGGCGAAACAGTCTGTCATCATCTGATTAAAGGGAATTCATCTTAGTTTTCGCAATTTTATGATCGCTAAAGTTTTATAAATCGCTGCATAAGATACAATGTATGATGTCATCTATGACGTCATATTGAGGCCACATATGACGTCATAAATTTTTAACTAACATATGAAAAATCCTAGATCCGCCCCTGTAAAGTGCTATGAGGAAACGAATTCTTGAAGAGTATCATAGAAAAAATTGTAGAAGAAGCAATGGAAAAACGTAGAACTTAATATTTGAGATGTGTTATGGGAAGATGCGAATAAAGTGAAGGCTACGTGGATAGAAAGGTTCTATTGAGCTAAATTGAGCAAATAATTGAGGAAGGACAATAAAGGATTAAGAGGAAAAGCTTTGGATAAAGTAAATCACAAAGTAAAGTTCAGCATGACTTGAAGACGACCATTAGGAATAGTTGAAATAAAACAACAATCCAATAAACTCATAACCTTTCTTTGCTCTACAGGAACACTAGAGGAAAAGGGATCGTGGAAAAAATCAGAGAAATGGGGCATCAGAATAAATGCCGAAGAAGATGGCGGTGGCAGATTGCGTAAGACGACAAAGCAGCAACGCTTTGAAAGGGCTTGGCCGTGAAACGGGCATTTGATAATGGAATGTTGTTGAAGGTGGAAAATACCGTGGATCACTAATACCATGTGGATGACCGCAGGGAAAACTGTGCTTTGCCAAAAAGAGGAAAATAAATGCAATTACCAACCGAAAAAGGGTGTACTGGTAATGCGTAAGTTGGTGACAGAAACCATAATCTGAGAATGGTATTGGGTTGATTATAGTCATATATATGATACGCTATCGATGATGGGAAGTCTCAACGTAGCAAAGAGTTTAGTTAAAAAATGAAAAACCGAGTTATTATGTTGCTGATAATTGTTGGAAAACATTATGGTCAGGACAGTCATCTTTCAAGCAGATTACTTATCACCATTATTGTATTTGATCTGTATGATTTGTCTCACACAGATTTTATGGAAAATGAAAATTAGACTGGTTAACCCCATAATAAGGTCAGTGCACCAAATGATTGGACTGTATAGAGAAGTGGACAAACCATGCCCGCTTGAGGACGGAAACACTTAAAAACCTAATGACTACAAAAGACAAAGTCCACTTTGAAAAAGTGTTAGCAACAGATTGTATATATCAAGGAAGAAATATGGAACAGCGTCATAGGATATGCGGTTTGAGATGAAGAGTTATTCTAGAATGCTGTGTGATTACATCCAAATGTATCTATGATTTTTGCTGTTAAAATTACTAACATATATTTAATAAGTTTGCGGCATGTCCAAGAGAACTTGATTAAGGAAATACAAAATACACAAAGGCTTTCAGGCTTTGATGTTGCTATACATGGGAGTACAAGCATGAGGATAAAAGCTTACTGGATGATGGCAGCTGGCAATGACCTTCTCGCACATTTAAATGCCGTGTATTTGAGAAAAACAATTACTATAATTATCAATAATTACTTTTTACAAATGCACTTTACTTGACCAAAACAAAATCTCTTTCTTACACACACACCCTTTAACTACCTACATGCAATGATGATGCACTCGCCGTTCTTAAAGAACAATTTGTAATATTACTTACAATGTGTTGATGTATCTAATATATTAGAGATGTTGTTACTTATCACATAATTAAAAAAGGCAGTTGTTTGTTTATGCAAAGAAATTCATTCAGTGGACCAACCGAGAAGGATTAAACCTTTAAGGCATATGTGATGTGGTAACCCTGTTAACTGTTGTCATTGAATGCTGTCTGCATCCTATTGTTTGATAAATTTACGCAATTTCTTGTCGGCCGTGTTTTTGAACTAACTTTACCTAAGGAGTGCTACCCCCACTAAATTCACAAACACAAAAATTAAAATAACGCCAACTAGTTTTGTCAAAGATTGAAAGTGGAATATCTGATTTTTACATCACCAATTATAAGATCAACGCTTTTGAAAATAATTTTTTGCGTTAGAAAATTCATCTGTGTATAAACTTTTAGGCCAGAATTTTTATAACACCGTCATGGACATCACTAAATCCCGGCTTTACCAGTCTAAATCCGTTATTAAATCCTTTGTGAATGATAAAACCTGTAATATATACCCCTTGTCTAAGATTTAGATATATCTGTAACATAATACAATGGACTTATCGCTCTAATTACGTGCTCTTAAATGTTTAGTTATGCAATGCAACACTATAAAGTCTGTAAAACGTACCGTTAATTTTGCCAGCTATCACTTCTTCACAATTTTTGTCTGCGTTAGATTACAACCATCAAATGCAGTCGAACACTGTTTTGCTACGTGGATAGCTGCAAACTTAAAAATGTTAACAATTATTAAATATCTTTGCGGGAGTTAGATATTATAAAAAAATGTTTATTCTCTTTGTCAGGAGGGGAGGGATTAGACGGAAAGAATTTTGTTCATGTTTAATTAAATTTTCATAGCTGCTCTCAACATGTTTATGAAACTTATAACTTAGTTACATTAAAGAAATCATTAATAGTCATGTAATAAATATTTCACACATGAGCATATGTAATGTTTGTGTCTTAAATATTTTTCACTAGAATTTTCTCCTCCTGATGGCCAATTAAAACTGATTCAAAGGGGGTCGTTGCGTGGGAGAGGAGGACTGCAGAGGAATGCATTGACATACAATCTTTTTTATACCTGACCTTCCTTGTTAATGTTTGAAATATATTTCTCATCTTGAGTTTATTCAGATTTGTCGTGACAGCGTTACTCGTTCTTTTTTTACTGATTAAAGAACACAAATATTTGCGATATTATTAGTCAAGACGTCATATGGGGTTAATAATTAACTCATGATTCGCGTCGGTGACTTGAAAATTTGAATATGCACAACACACAACAACAAACCGACTATAAATTTATAGTTTGGATAAAGTAGTTTATGACTGATAAATTTTGTACGTTTTGATAGCATTTCACATGAATTATGGGCATATTAGCAAAGCTCGAATGATTATAGGAAAACCATTTTTCACATGTGCATGCCTTCATATGTGTCAACATTGCATTGACAAGGTTTATTTTGTTGCATCTCGTTTAATATCCTCCAAAGATCTCCAAATAAAAACAGTTAATGCTATTTTCTAACCCGAAGGCAGATATAAATCTTCCAAAAACTTACCAGAAAAATTTATTTGTAACACTTACGCAAGACTATTTAAATTCATATTGTGACAATGACCTAATACACAGGCTATATATAGCCCAGTTGTGGACTATACGCCCACTATATAGGCTGTACACACAATTCAGACTATACAAAGCAAACAAGCTATAAACCCGAATTTATTGAGAATGTTCTAGAATCGGTTTCCTGCGAAAATATAAGACAAAAATATCCTTTTTCATGTGAGGGTTTTCGAATTTGTTACGATTCCAGATCATTCATGACCAAATAGTGTTTATAGATTAGCGATTTTGAATGCTGTGACCTTTGGGACTATAAAGGAAAGCCTAGATAGCACTTTTGAATTTACAAATTTTTGTGAAAAGATAATCGAAAGGTTTTCCTGTTGAAGTATTAGAGTTCCGGTTATGCTTTCTGTAAACTTTAGACATTGGGATAAATGTTGTCATCAGGTGGTATAAAATTTTTGCTAACCATGACATCTGGTCACTAACAGCCGCTTGGAGTCGATCAAACAATCTGCAAAATAACCCACACTATTCGAGTTGAGAGATATATTTGACATATGTTATGGTGTGTATCATTTTCTGATTTTATAATTTTATATGGTGCGTTTGGTACATTGAAAGTTTTACACACTACAATATATTACGGTAACATTGATTGATATACATGTTCATATAAAGAGACTTGTATGAGGGTAGACAGTGCAAAAAAGTGGGAAAATTTTCCTTAAAAGTTACTTAATCCTAAAATTTATGCGACATCAAAGCCCAAGCATGACTACTTTGAAGCAATGAAGCTACAAATTGTGCAATAAAAACGTAATCTCACGAACAGGTTATTGAATTCTTGTGACTTGTCTCTTCGAATTGAGATGCAAAATTAGACGCCGAACGTCATTTTGCTTCCATGGTATCGGGATTCTGGAATCTCCCCTCTGACTTTTTATTCTTAGGCTTTACCAGTTTGTCTCTATCAACGGTCATGGAAGAAGTGCTTATGGCGTAACATCTTGGACGAATGTCTAAAGAACATCCTTCACTGAAACTCCTACCAATTTTCATTCCAAGCTGTCCTTTGTATTCTTTTCAGTCTTGTTAAGGCCCCGGTCAATAAACGTAAGCATGGAATCAGGGATTTTTTTTGCTGATAAAAAGTCAGACACTTTCTTGTCATAAATTGGATTTGATGACGATCTTACATTTCTTTTCACAACCATCTTGCACCTGGGATTTTTGTCTAACTTTTTTTTAAATGAACTATACGCTCTTTAGTAACCAAAGCTACTTTTCCATTTGCATGGTGAGCAAGACGAACTGAATCATATCCTTTATTTATCCATATGAGAGAGGACTGATGTTTTCCCGTTTCAGCAGAGAAAGTCTCAATCACTATCTTTGAATCAGCAAAGTAGTAACCTGTGATGCACTTGGAGAATGGTGTGTAAATAACTTCATTATACGTTTCGATTTCTTTTAGGCTTGGACTAAGCTTCATGACTTTTAATAGATCACCTTCCATGTTGTAGATGAGGAGTTTATAATAGTTGCGAAAGCGTCGTTCTTTGTAAATTATTATTGCTATGGTGTTATTGACAGAGTTAGACAAAGATTTCATCTCACCAACGATTGAACTCGGCTTACCTGTTTCCTTCAACACCTCCAGAAAAATTTCACCATTTTTATAACATCCACAGACGTTGATATTGCTCTGGTTACCTTCAACAAATGCAACAACAATTTTTTCATCTTGTGTTAAAGCCATAAACAGCTTTCGTGCTTCTCTGTTGTCAAGGAACTTCAAAGTAGACTGTTGGAAAGTACTATCTTTTGAAAAAACTGTCATTAGATATTTCCAAGTGTTTTTACATCCATAGCCAGAAAGAACATAAACCACGCCATTGTTATCAACTGTCATACATCTAACCTGCCAATCATCAATCTCATAAATTTCTTTACTCCACGGTTGAAGCCTTCCTGTTTCCCTGTCGACTTTTTGCAGAATGTTTCCAGAAAAGATCACCATTTGCCATTCGTTGGTAAATGTGATTTCTTTGTCGACGAGTAGATGACGTTCTTCCATGCAAAAGTAAGTTTCATGCCAAGGTGTGGAAAAACCTGAAATTCCTTCAACTTTATTAAAATATAAAGGATGAAACATTTGCTCGCCACATTTTATCAATGGCCAATCAAGAACTGCGTACTTTTTTGATGTGTTTTTGGAAACGAATTCGGCCAAAAATAAATTGATCATTATTATCTTATTGACGTTTTTGTCCTTTTGGTCTTGGTCACGTGCTGGTTTTGTATTTGGAAACAGCTTTCTAACCTCGGGCAAAGAATTTAAATTTTTCAAGTATACCATAGAATCACTTTCTGCTGCCTTGCTGTCATTATAATGCCGTAGGGTAGAACTTACGATGCAAATCTTGCATGCTGTTATTTTTTCTTCAACTGTTAAAGATGCATCATGAAACGCATTGTTTGCTTTTTTGTCTGCCTCGATAAACGACTCTTGAGCCAACTTTATTTGCTCGGGTAGTAGTGACTCCGATTTTTCGTTTTCAGTTGACTTGGCAAGGTTCAGACTTTCAATACCTTTTCTGAAATTATTCATGCTACTGTGAAGATCATTTCTAGATATTGCTTTTGATGTGCTTAATTCGCCTTCGATTTCATTTTGTAATTCCTGTAGTATTTTCCCGCCTATTTTGGAACCTGACATAAGACCCAAACTTTTCGTAATTAAATCCATCGCGTAGAGTTTTCTTCACTGTTGTTTTGTTTTGGCAATCTAAAATAGGTTTCGTAAATACAGGTGTTTTAATTAGAAAATTCATCCAGCCAGTGGCAAAACCATCCCGAGTATTTATTCCTGCTATGCTGATTTTTTAGCTAAAAAAATGTTTAACTACTTTTATCCTGTGTTTTTTAGTTACCGAACACAAACTTGTTTGCATGGCAGGAGTTGAAATCGGGCAGGCTTTGTCTCAGACGTGTCGTCGTTTCTTTGATATACACATGCATTGCGTACGAATGTTTCTCTAGAATTTTACTTTGACGTTCAAGCCATGTGCATAACTTCGCTCATTTGTGATGTTTTACGAATTGATTGCGATAATTTGTTAGTGAGTATCTCTTTATTTCAAGTATATAATGGTACACAAATAAATGTGAAAAAAGGAAAAGTCAGGTTTTAGAGTCTTTTAGACAAATCCTTGTGCTCTTTGTGTCATGACAAAAATTCCAGATGTTGTGGCACCTTGAAGCCACTTACTAAAAATTGGGCGGAATTCAAAATAGTAATGAATTGTGAAAACGGTATTAGTGGGATTGCAGGTTGTGCCAAAGATGTCGCGCCTTGTAGGTATCGTGTGGGAAATTAGGAAATCGCGCGCTGGCTTGTACTCATTATCTGCACGTGCTCATTCAATAACACAGTTTATTGTCCATTCGGCCACCAGACTATTTATTAAATTATAATGAATGCGTGTTTATTGTGTGATGTAATCAAATGCTTGTCGTCGTTGGGTCGTCAAGAACGTATTTTCGTGCTATTGAACGGCTAACAATGCAAATACAAGCCATATTTTCTTGTAATGAACAGCACAAGGTGAAATAAAGAAAAGCATATAATCTTAACAAAAATGTCTTAAATTTAATACTGGAAGAGGCCAAAGGCACTGGCCAAAGTTTATACGTTTTGAGCAAAGAATCAAACAACTTAAGTAGGCACAGACAGGGGGAGAACATTTGTTTAAAAGTTAAGTTAGGTCATCCAAGGTTGAAAATATACCGACTGCCCAACCCCCCCCCCCACCCATAGCTGTAACGCCCATGCTTATGCTGGTGGGCTTAACCTACGAAAGCTCTTAACTATTGATGGCTCTAAGCTCTAGATCTATAACCTTACGTAACAATGGCTACCTAACTGAATGCACTTATGCCAACAATAAAGCGAAAATAAATGAAAGTACCAATGCAAAATAAATTTGTCAAATGAAAGGAAGACGATTGACTGATTTATATAGCACCAATTGCATGTTCAGAGTTTTTGAGAATTTTTTTGTAAGAAAATTCATTTGTATGTTCACCTCTATATACACGAATTTTTTCAAATTTTCATGGACAATGCTAAATCCATGCTACGTAAATGTTGAAAAATGTGCAATTTAATCTTGTTCTAAAGTTTGCAAAGATCTGTAACATAGTGATGAAACATTGCAGCGAATATTTACATGACATAAAGTTGTTTAAATGTAGATCGATTTCAATTCCATCGATTTTTTCAATTTTACGGTGGTACAACTAATCATATTGTTGCATGAAGATATAAGTGTTAGGAGGGAGATAAATTGGCACCAACAGGTTCTTGGATATTGAAAACACATTTAAACGCAATATAATTTTGTTGATACCGCGGCAATACGGCATTACTAAGTATGTAAAACTTACCCTTTATTTTGCTAACTGTGACTTCTTTACTATTTTGCCTCCGTTGTATTAGAGCCATCAAACTAAGTCGAATACTATTTTGCAACGTGGACAGCTGCACATTTAAATTGCAAACAATTGCAAAATAATCTTTGCGGGAGTTTTTTGTATATAAAAATAAAAACTTTTTTATTCTCTATACTCGGGGAGGGTTAAGATCGGAGGAATTTTGTGAATGTTTAATTAAAATTCATTCATACATTGCATATGCTTATGAACTTTTTAAAAGAAAGAGACAAAATCGTCTTGTGCTTTTAATGAAAGTATAGTAACTTCATTAGGAAAATTGTCGACAAATAAGCAAATGTAATGTGAGTTTCTTGTATCTTTCAACTGCAGATTTTCTCTCCTGAAGGCCTCTGTCGGCAGGGAATCATTGCGTGGGAGAGGAAAAGTGCTGCAGCAACTCTCGCATTTATTTTCCTAAAACAAAATGTTTGAAATATCTTTCTGTACTACGTTCTTGCTGAGAAAAATTCAAGTTTTATTACTTAATTAATAAGCAAAATTAATAGTTTAAGCAATCTGTCCTCAAAATGTCATGGCATTTACTAATTAACTTATGATTCACCTCGATGACTTGAATATCATTGACTATGCTTTTAATGAAATACATTGTCATTGAAAGATTTTACAATGCGTGTACTATGACAAACCTACCAACAATTTATAGTTTGGATGAGCTTTTCATGTCTATGAAACTTCATGCGTATGAAATTGCAGTGAAAGCAAAGTATTCGTCTTTAAATGAATGTAAAAACGCAATTTCACGTGGGCGTCCAAGCAAACTGTTTACAATGTTTTTCTTGTTCTTTTCTGTTTATTATTCTTCCAAATTCCACCAATTAAAGACAAATTGTTTGGTTCTACCTTCCACCACACTGATTGGCTCGCACTTAAAAATTTTAATATTTTACATCAAGTATCATTATGTAAGTCAGGCCAATAACTTCGAGGTCCATGGATTAATCTGTAATGACCATGACGAAATTGACGGTCGTTGTCGGCAAAAATGTGCTCTTTTCAACTTTTCAACCAAACTCTAAAATTCGGTTGGATCATCGGTAGAAAAATTAGTAAATTCCCTTCATTGCGAAAGAATTATTATAAATTCTAATTTTATGACAATCACAGGTCACAGTAGGAAAAAACAAGCAGTATTTCTCCAGCACTTTTTCTAACGCAAATGAAAGTCAATAATATCGTTTTCGTATGTTAATTTAGGTTTTTTGAATGTACTAAGATTCCAGAACATTCTTCAATAAATCGTGTCTGTGTAAGGTTTAGCATGGTATATAACTTCAGACGACACAAACCAGTCTTTCCCTTCTGCCAGTTCTTGGCGCGGAGAAATGCTGAGTGTTTTCTCAGGAAGAACATCCGTCGGAAAAACTTAGCCAAGCTAATTATAGGGGTCTTGAACGATCGCCATCGGGCTCTATACCAAATAGGTATTGATGCAACTTGGAATAAATAAGGAAACACCTACGCAATAGCTATAAATATAGGCATGAATTTCAATTTGTAAACTCAGGACTTAAAAGTTAGACAAAAAAGCTGGTTATTCTAACACTATTGGTAAATGACCATTTTAAATGACTAGCTCTCGCCACGAAAATTTATGAATAACTTAATGTTGTAACGATGTGTATCGTTCATACTCAGTCATGGAGATAAAGCATAAAATAGTTCTTTACATTTTAGTTTAAAAATGTGAAAATTGCCGACAGTTAGTCCACACATAAACAAATTGAATGAAATAAAAATTCTCTGAATAATCACTTGTTTCACTTGACAACATCTACTAGGACTTACCGTGCTATGAAATGGTTTGTTCTGTGAAGTTTGGTATAATTTCTTCATCATCGTTATAGCTAAGGTGCTTCATCCCTCTTGATTCTCTTGTAACCGTCACTGTGATCAAACCATGTGGCGTTTATTTAATTTAAAAAAAGCATTACACAAAAGAACTTCAATAGGAATCATTATAAGTTGCATGTAGTCTATGGAAACTTGACAACTATTAACAAAATTCAAGTTGAAAGGAATGTTTAATACATGTGCTAGAGTGCCATATCAGTAGTAGATCTAATAATTTTATGTGATGCATGCATTTGAAGTTTGACCTGAGTATATATAATGTGCGCTTTGATTGATACATGTTAATATAGTGAATTTTATAAAAATGAAAAGTGCAAGGAAGTTGAGAGAATTTTTTCGTATTTTTGTAATTCTAGTGTTTTTGCCTCTTAAAGGGCATATGCGAGTTGGCATAAAATCCTTCAAGCCTTAAATTGTGAGATGAAAATGTATTTTCATTGGAGAATTTTGGTCACTCGTTTTTTTCAAATTGAGCAATGATGTTAGAAACTGGACGTTGTTTTGGTTCCTCGATATTGGGATTCTCGGAACTCCCTTCGGAGCCCGCACTTTTGGACTCTCCCTTCGATTCCGAGTTGTCAGCCGTTTTTTGGGCTTTTTTCGCTGTAAAGTTTTTTTTCATCCTAATTATGTTCTCAGGAAGTTTTTCAAGTGAAAAATACGAGTGGAAATTCTTTTTTACTATGGACTTCCTCCTTCTATTTTCGTTCGACATGCATGACTCCTCTAGGGCGAAATCTTTTTTCAAGTGAAGTGTGCGCTCTTTAGTAACCAAAGCCACCTGTCCGTTAACATGGTGAACAAGACGAATGGAATCAATAAACACTGGATCATATTCTGTTTTCATCAGCACGAGCGACAACTTATGTTTTGCAGTTTCAGAAGAGATAATCTCAATCACTAAGTTTGCATTAGTTACATTGAAATAGTATCCTGTAATGGCGTTTACGGCAGGTGTGTAAATAACTTCATCATACACTCTGATGATTCCTTTTAAGTTTGGATCGAACCTCAAGGCTTTTTTTTGATCACCTTCCATGTTGTAGGTGAGGAGTTTATGAGATTTGCGAAAAAGTTCCTCTCGAAAAAGTATAATTGCTATGGTGTTAACAGAAACAGTCAATGATTTGATATCACCAACGATTACAGTAGGTTTACCTTTTTCTTTCAACTCTTTCAAAAAGAGTTCACCATCTTTGTGACATCCACACACGGTGATATTGCTCTGGTCACCTTCAACAAATGCAACAACAATTCTTTCATCTTGTGTTACGGCCATACACAAGCTTCGTGCGTCTTTGTTCTCTATGAACTTTAAAGGCGATTGTTGGACAGTACCATCAATGGAAAAAATGGTCAATACATAATTCCAAGTGTGTTTTCTTCCACATCCAGAAAGAACATATACCACATCATTGTTATCAACTGTCATACATCTTACCTGCCAATCCTCAATTTCACACTTTTCTTTACACCACGGTTGAAATGTTCCTGTTTCAGCGTCAAGTTTTGGAGATTGTTTTCAGAAAAATCAGCATCTCTCCTTGACTAGTTAGAGTCATTTCTTTGTCGACAAACAAGTCACTTTGCTCTTTGCAAAAATGATATTCGTGCCAAGGAGTGGAAGAACACGTGATTCCTTCAACATCTTTACAATATAAAGGATGAAACTTATGCTCATCAGATTGAATCATTGGCCAATCAAGAACAGCTCTCTTTCGTGAAGATGGATTGTTGGAAATGAAATTGGCCAATAATACGTTGATCCTTATTACATTGTCAACGTTTTTAGCCCTCTGGTCTTTGAAATGTGCTGGTTTCATATTTGAAAACATCTTTTTAACTTCGGGAAAAGAGTGTAATTTTTTTAAGTATACCATAGAATCCGTTTCTGCTGCCTTGCTATCATTATAATGTCGTAGGATAGAACTTGCGATGCAAATCCAGCACGCTATTATTTTTTCTTCAATTTTTAATGATTCAGTATGAAATGCCTTATTTGCATCTTTGTCTGCCTCTACAAAAGATTCTTGAGCCAACTTCTTTCTATCTTCTTTTAACTCCAATTCTTCTTCTTCAGACTCCGCGAGGTTCAGTTTTTCAATGCCTTTTTCGAAATGAGTGAAGCTACTTAGTAGATCCTTTTTACATATTGCTTTTAGTGACTTTAATTCGCTTTCAATTAAACCTGATAATCCCAGTAGTGCTTTTCCTCCTTTTGCGAAACCCGTCATTAAGCCCAAACCTATTGTTATTGGATCCATCTCGTGTTTCCTTCTGTTTTTGTTTCGTTTTAGCAATCTAAAATGAGTTTTACAACAGTGATTTTAAAAGTTGATCACAAGAGGTGAAACCTTACCAAATTTCTATTCCAGCTATGATTTTAAGCTTAACAATCAATAAGCTCTTTCGAAACTCATTTAACTTATTCATTGATTTTACAGCTGCTAAACGCAAAAATATTTGTGTGAAAGGAGTTAGAATCGAGCAGGCTTGTCTCGTCGTTACTATGATACACAATCCGTATTTTTGTTTAAAATTTTATTATGGCATCTAAGCAATGTGCATGACATAGTTTAGCTCATTTGTGATCCTTTATGAATTGGTTAATTTTTTAATGGATAATGTTTATTTTTTTTAAATTGTGTTTTAATGAAAAAATGACAGCTTTAGTAAAGTTGTAAAGGATTGTTAAAGACGGGTTGCTCAAAGAAAATTGGTGTCCAACGCCAAAAAATGAAGTGGGTGGCAGGTCAAGATTTAGCTTCTGACAGTCCAAGTCCGAGTCGTGGAACTGCTTGCGAGTAACAGAAAGGGGAAAAAGCCAGTGACTGGCTCCTTGAAACGACCATTCAAGGTTACCAGCAGTTACCCTAGAGAGGGTGAATTTCTGATTTCATGGCCAGAGCAGTTGAGGTCTTTTTATTCATAGCTGGCAGCCCAACTAGTAATCCTTTGAAAAATGGTGTGATCAAGAACAGGAGGTCAAGTCTTGATTTACAATGCAGTTAGTAGAGATTATCAATTTTGTGGGTATCTTAAAGGTATCGTGCTTGTATGGGTGAATAGTTGCTATTACATGAATTAATTAATCACAAAATTTGAGAGACATCTCAATCCTATCAAAAACCAGGCCTAAGCAACGCTAGATAGACTTAATGCTTAAAAACATTGCATGGGTAACAAACAGGCAGAACGATCAAGAGATTAAAAATAAAATCATTTGTTCATTTAAGGAAAACAAAATGAGAGAAAGACGATCAAACAAAGACAAAAAACCTAAAAAAAAACACGTGAAAGAATCAAGGCGAATGGTTGTCAAACGATATTTGTGGGAAGAAAGTTTAGAAAATTGAAACCAGAAGAAAAAAAGAAAGAAAGGAACAGTTAAAGACTGCGAAAGGATCAAAAAAGAGTTACTTTAGGTAAAAGAATTGTGTTTTCAAGAACCATATTACAGAACGACAAAGTTGGATGAAATAAGGACGGGAGAGAGAAAGAAAAAACGAGTAATATGTCAAGAAGATCTTATCGCCAATGTTGTTGAACTGTATAATTCCTCACACAGATTCTATGGAAAGTTAAAAAAGTCTTGAAAATGCTACTGCGATCGGCTAGCGTTCTAAATATATCAGAGATGCTGTGAATAGAACAAAGAAACACGTTTTATGTATCCATGAAGATACCTCATAGGATGTGCAATGTGTGCTGTTAACGAAGAGTTATTCTATAATGCTCTGTGACCACATCCAGATGAACCTATGGTTGTTATTATTAAAAATGATAACATTTTATCAAATGAATGTGCGACAGATTCAAAAGAATTTGGAAAAAAGTTGAAAACAAAGACTTGATTACTTCACGGGCTATACATGAGAGAGATAAGTGGAACAGATACAGCAAACATCTGGAAGTAGTTATATAAAATGTTATTTGAAAGAATGTACTGAGGCATTGATCTGAAGGCAACCATGCCTTGAGAGCGAAATTTATATCAATTTCGACAATGAATGTGTTGAATTGCCTCCTCTGTAGAATGAGAAAAACATGAAATGAGACTCACTTACTACATGAGAGTGTTGTAAGTTGGCTCAAAGAGAATACCAAAGGAGGCATGAGGATTAGCGAGAAAGATTATTAGAGAGCCCTTGGGATTTAACATGGCAGTGTGAATCAATATGTTAAAGGGGAACTCCACCCAAAAATAATGTTGGTCTTAAAAGTTCCATTTTTATGCAAAGGTTACTATATTTTTGAAATTTTTACATCAGCTATTTTATTTTTGACAAAATCGCGTCTTCAAGTGCGCTATTTGAGCTGTTTTGAGGCTTAGCAGCGTGGGCACAGAAAGCGTCAGCGGAAATTATTTTGACGTCATATCGTCAAACCGATTTGGAGTTGAGTTTACAACAAAGTAAAATAATAACGCACAGCCTTGCACAAAAAACAAAACAATCGCTTATAATGGCTTTTTTGGAAGAACCTCGGCCTAACTCACCAATCGATAGTGAAATGGAAGACAATCCAACAAACAATATTCGGCCATATCAGTTTGAGCCCGAATGGCCGGCTGATGAACACGAAGAAGCTCACCAGTTTGAGGATAACGAACAGAAATTTTTGTATATTGACGATGAATCTCGGTGCGACAATCTTGAATGGTGGGTAGTAAAATGTTATATTATTCTAGACCATTGTTTCTATCTTAAAAGTACGTTTTCAGTTTTTGAAGTTGACCACGTCCACACACACATAATACTTTAGATTTTAAAGTTTTTATTGTAAGATACAATTTTTATTGAAGTTTTGACATTTACTTTTCAAGATCCTTTCTTTTAACATATTCAGGTGTCAATGTGGTAACTGCCAAATAATGGATAATAACGAGAAATGTTTATGCTGCAAAGAGATTTCCAATATTTGTGACAAAATTTAGAGGCAGTAGAAACGAATGAGACCACCGAAGTCCCTTTGTGCATTACACAACATCCTGGTTTTGAGCCTGTTTGTCTTAACAGGTGGGTTTTACAAACAGTTTGGTACCAGTAAAAGCAGCAATATGAGGTAGCATATGATGGGCCCGAGGACAAACTGTACCGCCATATTGCATATAGACAGTTGGCAAGATGGTGCTGGGGTGTCTTGGGTAGAGAAGTGAGAGTCATCTTGCCATCATGTGCAGTTACTCGCATTAGAGAAACATTTCCTCCACCTGGCCTTGCAGAGGAATTTCAATTTGAAGGCTTTCACTATGTTGATGAATGAAGTATTTTATTATGATATAGGTATACTCATTACAATTACTTTGTATGTCAATATTAAAGTGGCATAGCCAGCTCATTTATAGGTCATGCTATGCACATTTATTATTATTAATTTATTACAAAAAAAACAGATTTACAAAGAAATGATTATAAATGTGGCTTGGCTATTACACTGGTTATAATATAACTATAATTAATTACATGAATAGTTTGTGTAATGCAGTGGTGAAACTAGCTATAGCAAAAGGTTTTGCTATGTTAATATTTAAGAATGAACATTTTTAAGTAGTACAAAGTTGTCTTCACTGATTCAACGTCATATTATATGGGTATGGCAAAACCTATTGCCATAGCTAACATCACCACTGACATTTTATGCAAATCTAGACTGATGTTCCTTTACAAGTACTTCTTTCCTGGGTGGACATGATTTAGAAATGTTCTTTGGAAGATTCTTGCCATGATGTACAAGTTCAATCTCCTCAGTTTTGCATACATTCACAACCTCCGCAAGTAGTTTATCAATGTACTGGTACTCTTTCTTTTCTTTCATTGCTTTTACAACCCATTGCTTCTGTGTTTTAGCAAAAAACATTTTGTAACGGTCTTGCCCTTTGTTTGTCCCTGACTTAATGAATGCTTTATCATGTTTAATATTGTTGTTGTGATCTAATGCTGCTAACTGAGTGCGGGCTACCATTCCAGGAAATGAAAAATGCTCTCGCTTTGGGCAGGTCTTTTAGAAGCCTCTTGTCACATATCACCTTCTCTGCAGCGATATATGCTTGTGAAGTAGGAGATAACCACTTCTTCTGCTTTGTTTCTTTTTCTGTTAATTGTTGGTGGCAACATTGATGAAAATATGTGTTCCCCTTCCAGAAATGCTTGTTGGAAATGTGGTTAAGGACAGACTTCCATTTTTCCACCAATTCTTCTGCATTCTTGTTACAACTTGCAGAGCACCACCAAAGATGATTAGAAATGGACTTAATCCAATGGGTCAAGTCATCATTTCCCTTAATGTTAGCCTTCTTTGTTAGTTTTTTTGTGACAGATTTAGACAAATGCCACACATCATATTGGTGATCAATATGAGGGTGTTTGTTTTTCAACTTCTGCATCCACAGTATTCAGCATCAACAGTGTAGTTTGGACTTCCATGGCATGTAAACTCCTCACAACAAATGAACACTGTGTTGATGCATCTTTGGTTTCTGGCTTGCAATAATTAGTTGGCAATGCTTCAGGACTGTCAGACGCACCCAAATCACAACTGTTATTTGCTCAAACAATGAGAAAACATTTGTACTTGTGGAGGAACATTGTTCTAAAATATTTGAAAGCTGAAAATAGAAAAAATAGAAATATTTAGAATATACTTTAGGCTATAACTTTTTCTTGATTAAAATTTAACAAGAAATGCTTTACTAACTTCCTCCTTGTCTTGATCAGTCTGACGTTTTCTGTACGATGCTCGCTAGACAGACGCTTTTACTGGGTTGAGGGCCAAATGAAAAATCGATGGTACTGCATCCCGCTTCAGTCGCCTTTTTAAAGGTTGCCATGGTGTAAGTTTCTGTCTTAGGTCCGATTCAAAACAATCGGGAGCAAAGTGCTCACTGCAAACGTAACAGTATTGGAGAGGAGGTAGATTTTCTCTCCGTATTCTAGCAATCCATTATTATACAATTATGTACAATAATTAGGAAACTATAAGTTCATACTTTACGTCAAGGAAACTACAACTTAATTCTATGCACGAAAGGCTATTTTTACAATGGTTTCATGTAGGATTATTTTCTAACCGTAATGAGTTACACAACCATGTTTATTACTATTCAATGTTTATTAAGGGCAATAGATTGGTTTCACATCAGTGGAAACTGTTGTTAAGGTTGAATTCGGAGGACAAGCAAACGGCATTACGCACAGTTTCCACACAAAGAAACCTTCGTATTTTTAAAAATAATATTAATCGACATTCAAGTTCTATATGGTGCGGAAACTGTGCGTAATGGCCTTTATGTGAAACCGTTCTATTAAAACAGAATACAAATAACCAGCTCAATACTTGCATGTAAGCTATAAAGGTTGCTTGTGTATATACCTACGAATAAAAAATTCTGACGTTTCGAAAAGAAACATTTTGTGATTTGGAGAAGCATTTTGACGCAAGTTTATTATGACTGTGCAATGACTTTACATAAAGCTTTGAGAAGCAATTGACGATATGACGTCAATACAAGCCGCTGACATATTTCTGCTCCCACGCACCGGATGCCCTAGCTGCAGCATTTCAACTCATTTTTTGTGAAAATATTGAATCAAACAAACAAAAAAATTGCCGCATATTTATTTTCACGGGACAGACAAAGTTTTAAGACCAACATTATTTTTGGGTGGAGTTCCCCTTTAATGATCCGAGACTAGAAATTACGATCAAGTAATAAAGGAAATTAAGATAATATATGTAACTATATCTGACGATCGATGCATCAATTAGGAAAAAGAAGCTTACTGGTTGTAGACAGCTTGCAATGAGTTTCTCGCACATTGGAATGCGTTGTCTTTGTAAAAAACGTCAAAAATGATAATAGTATTAATGATACTGGTGTAATAATAATAATAATTAATTCCAAAGAAAAAAACATTGTAGCTAAGTAGCTTTGATATCATTTATTATGTTTCCCTAGTATACTGTAAAAAACGTAATACGTCTCAACCTTTTAGCAAATGCTACAAAAGCTCCACATAAAGCTACTTGACCTAAACAAGACTTCTTTATCATCACCAACACCTGTAACTATTGTCATGCAATGATGATCAACTCCCCGTTCTTTATTAAAAAGAGCTTTATTTAATAGTCAGCCGTTCTTTATTATAAAGAAGAGCTTTATTTCATATAGTCCTAACTCTTAACATTTGTTAAAGATGTACATCAATTTGAAGTATATTCAATATGAGACATGTTGTCTGTTACTCATCGCATGATCAAAAAAAGCTGGTGTTTGTTTATGAGAAGAAATTTATTTAGTGGAGTTACTAAGAAATATTGGAGCCTTAACGCGTATGTGATGTGGTAGCCATGTTTACGTGGAGTACTGGCTGCATCACTTCTTATTTTGCACTTTCTGCCGTTTTACTATTTTTTCGTAAATTTATGCTCTTTCCGGTGGGCTGTGTTCTTAAACTAGTAATTACCCCACTAAATTCATCAATACAAGAAAAACATAAAATAGATTAGTCAAAGATTAAAACCGAGTCAACCATTTATATATATAAGTAATTGTATGATTAGTCTTTTTAAGAATATTTTTTGTTACTAAAATTCATATAAGTATTCACTTTTGCACAAGAAATTTTAATGTTATAACCTGCAAGATAGTTCTGCTCTAATGTTTACGTGGATCTTTAACATAATGATATAAAACATTGCAGCGAATAGAAACTCAATTTATGTTAAGTTGTTTCAATGTAGCTAACGCCTCCTTCGATTTTTGTACATTTTACAGTGTTACAAACTATCCACACAATTAAAGATTTAAGCAATCGTAAGACGATAAAACATGTACAGACAAGCTCTTGGAAAATTTAAATTGATGCCTTTTCTTAGCATTATTTTACCAAACTGTTAGGCATGCAGTCATAAGATTTGGTTATGACGAGAGAGGCTTTTGACTGTTGAAAAAAATATTTCAACCCAATTCAATATTATCACCATAATTACCTGCTCTGAAATGTTTAGTTTTTGCAATGTAAGACAAGAACAACATATTAATTTCATAAGACTTACCGTTAATTTTACAAATTGTCTCTTCGTCACAATTTTCGTCTCCGTTACGTTCAGAAGTAAATTGAGTAATGTTTTGCAACGTGGACAGTTATGCATTTAATAATGTAAACAATTTCAAAATATCCATGCGGGAATGGAATTTTATAAAAAAATTCATTCGCTTTGGGGGGGGGGGATGAATTTGGAAGAATATTGTGTATGTTTAATTCAATTCCCCTACATACTTTCAACATGCTTGTGAATCTAAAAACTTAGTTATATTAAAAGGTAAAATGAATAGTCATGTATTACTTTTGGTAAATATAAAGTAAAGTAGCTCATATATGAGCATATGTTATTTCTTTTTATAAAAGTCTTTTCACCAGAATTTTCTCTCGCCTAATGTCCACTTTAAACTGACCCGTAGGGAATCATTGCGTGGGAGAGGAGGAGGACTGAAGAAGAATTTATTGACATGCAATCTTCCACACATGTTACCTCCACATTCAACGTCTGTAATATATTTCTCATCTTACGTTTTTCAAGATTTGTCGTGACAACGTTAATCGTTACTTTCTAAGGCTGCGTTTACACTACATCGGATTCGCTCATCACGACATCTTCATTTGCTTTAAAGGGTTAACTGTTTGGAGTAAAAGCTTATTAAGCTGATAGAAGTAGTCTATTTGATTGTGTTTCTGACGTTGAACAATTTCATTGCCTTTTAATACAAAGAATATTTAGCCAGCTACGATAGCAATCCGGTATAGTGTAAAAGGGCCTAAATAAAGAACACAAATATTTGCAATATTCTTAGTCAAGACGTCATACGGGGTTAATAATTAACTCTTGATTCGCGTCGGTGACTTGAATATCGACGATGAAGTTCATTGTCAAAGAAATTTGAATGTATACGGTTTGTACAATGACAAAACTACCATAAATTTATATAGCTTGGATAAAATACTTCATGAATTTTGCATTTCTCATGTTTTGTTGTATTTTACGTGAATTATTTGCTTTTAGATGAACTTAAACTCGTAATTTTTGTCATGCGCGTGCCTCTAAATGCCTTAACAATGTGTGGACAAGGTTTATTTCGTTGTACCTCGTTCAACACTCTTCCTTTTTTTGCCCAATAAATACATGCAGTTTGTAATATTTTTCACCCAAGGTCTACACTGCGAAATTTAAATAGTTCGCATGAATTATCATTTTGTTAAATAGACTTTTGAGATAAAGTAATTTTAATTTCTATTCAAGACTAATTTGATTTCATGTTGTGACAGTAACCAAATTAGAAGCTGATGTAGGCAGAAATATGCCTATTTTGCATCATCTTCAAGCAATAAAGTTAGAAGCTCAGATTTAGTCCAAAGATGAGAAAATGAGTGCATTTGTTCATGCAAATGAATTAAGACGAATTCTAATTTTGTGAGTATCACAGATCACAGCGGGAAATTTCACATTTGGCAATAATCTCCTGTTCAACAAACATGCAAAATTAATCCCTAATCCAATTTTTAAACGATGAGTCGACCCTATCCTATTCAGTCCTGAGTTAAGATTAAGGGGATAGTAGAACACAGATTTATCGCCACATATTTATTGCTGGTCTTTCACCTGAGCTATTTTACTGTACGTACTACAGGATATACACTTGATAAAATCAATACACACTATTAAATCTATACAGATAATTTTTATAGTGAAAAAGCGTTCTAGAAATGTTGTCATGCTTTATTGTCGATTTCAGTTAACTTTTCAAATGGCGGTTGCCAATTACTTTCTAATGTTGCCCGTAGCATTTCCAAATACGGAATATTCGGTATGAACTTGTCAACTTGAGTTGACAAGTTGTGAACTTGAGTACTGAAGTTGTGTACTTGAGTACTGAAGTTGTGTACTTAAGTACTGAAGTTGTGTACTTGAGTACTGAAATTGTGTACTTGACTACGGAAGTTTTGAACTAAAGTTGCGAAGTACTAGCAAACGCGAAACGTCTTTGTACACTGTAGACATTTGGCAATGAATTCGTTCAGTAAGCAAGGAAAAGCTTTAGCAATTCTAATCCGTTTGACGGCCCTCTAAGAGTGTTATAATGCGATACACCGTTTACATTATGTAATAAATTTACAGTAAATGTGGCACTAGAAGAGTATCGTGGGATTTTAAAGCCAGGAGTACCCTGCATACTGTGCCCTCGACGTCTGTTGCCACTCGTAACAACTACAGAAGACTTATCAAAGAAATGCACTCGGCTGCAATCAATCAATGAAATATTTGCTACGTAAGCTTCTAACTTCTCCATAACGTCTGGCAGTTCTGTCTCTTGAAGAATTTGACGTATTATCTTGTAAGAGTAACCAAGATCTTTATCCAAAATTCTACTAATGGATGACCTGCTAGGTATGTTTGCTGGAAGGCAAATTTTGTTATTTTCTAGGTGTTGCCGAATCTCTTTTGCGTAAATAGATGGTTTATTAATTTTTAGATATTCAGTGTATGCAATAACGTCATCTGTACGCGTGGCTCGAACATCACGTTCGATCTGGCGAGGTGCAATAGAGCCAGTGTCTACCCATAGATCTATTATATTTGATATAGTCTTATATGGTAGATTTAGTTCTTTCAAAATGTTTGTCAAACACTGGTTATTTAACCACATTTCAATATTTCATTTCTTTTTTCTATTGGTAAAGCTTTTCCTTGCTTACTGAACGGATTCATTGCCAAATGTCTACAGGGTACAAAGACCTTTCGCGTTTGCCAGTACTTCGCAACTTTAGTTCACAACTTCAGTACTCAAGTACACAACTTCAGTACTCAAGTACACAACTTGTGAACTCAAGTTGACTAGTTCATATCGAATATTCCATATTTGGAAATGTAACTGGCAACATTAGAAAGTAACTTGGCAACCGCCATTTGAAAAGTTAACTAAAATCGACAATAATGAAAGCCACAAGTATATTTTTTGATGTCGAGGGTTTTGAATTTTGTTAACATTCTAGAGCAGCCTTCACTAAATCTTGTGTACAGCACGTAGAATCTGTAAAGTGTATGGCTTTTATAACTTTATAACGTGCGTAATGTTTATAGTGTGTATAGCTTATATGTAGTTTGTATAATAAGCATTTCCTGCATAGTGTTTATGGTGTGTATTGTGTTTGTCGTGTGTAGTTATAGTTTGTATAACCTGTATAATGTGTATAGTGTCTATAGCAGGTATAACCTGTATAGTATGTACAGTGTGTTTAGCTACAAGAGTGCACAAGCCAATTTTTGGCCGAGTTGGTGGACACATGACGCAATAGGAAAACACTGTGCAGCTTTTGTATCTAAGAAACACGTTGGAAACATGCTAGAAGCTGGACTGAAACTGTTGTGAATGGAGTTAAAGTGTTTACTTTGAAGATGAGTTGATTAAGAATGTTCTCGACGTAAGAAGAATGTCAGACAGATTGACGTGTTTGAAAATAGAAACTGATGGTTTATCTTCAATAATTTTAGCAGTTATGCATTGAAGAAAGTAAATTTGGACGATAAGGAATAATAGTAGTGAGCTTCATGAAGTAACGTAGAGATTCCATAAGTGAGAGGATCTTGATTGGTTCTGACCTGTATAGCTATAACAACAATTTGATTTGTGTCGTTTTAGATTTACGACGCACAACGGTTTAGTTATTTTTCCAAGAACTGGCAGAAATATGCAATATTTCTTCAAATAGTTTTATGGTATGAAATAATGAAAATGCTATGCAACATATAAATCACGCCAATAAAATATCTTGCGATAATTGGGTGTTTTACACGACAGCCATGTTAGTCTCAATACTCATGAACAGGGTCGTGTCATTTACCAGCCTCGTAAAAACTAGAACTATTGCATAAACGACAACGTTAGAACTTAACAACATGTGCTACTGAGTGAGTTTGTTCAATCTCTGTCAACACAGTCCACCATCTTATCTGAGAGAAAAATACCAATGTACTCAGGTTCGAGGAAAGTTTTAGTAATTTATTGTAAACGAAAAAGTCTAGCCTTATCTTTTACCAAACACTGAGTCTAGACACCTTTTTGTATCGCTGCTGACTGGGAGCATTGGATAACGCATCATATTTCAATATCAAGTTGCCTGCACTTTTTACAATGGAGTGGCGTTAGACCAACTTAAACAAACAATAATATGCTGCTTGAATTACACAAAAATTTCATCCGATGGAGATTTGATGACGATTCTACGTTCTTCATAATCGACTTGTATCTGGGATTTAACTTTTTTTCAAATGAAAGATACGGTCTTCAATAACCAAAGCCACCCCTTCGTTTTTATGGTAAACAAGAGAAACTGAACCACTAAAAATTCCTGAGCAGCGACTGATGTGTTTCAGTTTCAACTGCATGAGAAGGTTTCCATCACTATCTTTGAAGCATCATCTTTAAAGTGGTAGCCAATGATGTACTTAGAGACTGGTGTGTAAATTACTTCATCGTATTCATGAATTTTAATAGATTTCCTTCCATGTTCTAGGTCAGGAGTTTATAAAATCTGCGCAAGTGCTCTTCCTCATTCTCAATTATTATTACTATGGTGTTATCATCAGAAATAGACAAAGGTTTTATCTCGCCAATGATGGGATTAATTTTCACTTTTTCCTTTTAACCCTCCAGCAAAAGTTCTATTTTTTTGTGACATCCACATAGGTTCACGTTACGTAGGTCACCTTCAACAAATGCAACAACAATTCTTTCATCCTGTGTTACGGCCATGAACAGATTTCGTGCTTTTTTGTTGTCAAGGATATTTAAAGTACAATGTTGGATAATATCATCTTTTCAAAAAACTGTCGATTATATTTCCAATCCATTTTACCTCCATGACCAGAAAGAACATATACCATGCCATTGTTATCAACTGTCATACTTTTTTTGGAGATTGCTCCAAAAAAAAGTCAGCAGTTCTCCTTCGTTAGTGATTTCTTTTTCAACGTAGAGATGACTTTCATCTGTGTAAATGAGATATGCACCAAGGCGTTGAAGAAGTCGTTATTCCTTCAACAACATGAGATATGCATCAAGGTGTTGAAGAAGTCGTTATCCTTCAAC